ACATCTGTTCAACTAACTCAGCGATGGAACTGAGGCAACAATGATGAACAACTATGAGACAGTCGTTTTTTTAAATTCCACCACGTTTTCATCGACTCACCTTTTTCACATCTTTTTCCAACAAAACCCACGGGACATTTGCAGAACAGGTCCTTTCCATTGTCATAGCAAGTGGCACCGTTGAGACAAGAAGATAATTGGCACCTGTCACTCTTGATTTCACAGTGGTTGCCATGGTACCCTCTAGGACATATGCACCCTGTGCCATTTTCAGTTCGATGGCATCTCCCACCGTTTAAGCAAATAAAGCTCGCACAGTTATCTGTTTCCTTTATTTCACAATAGCGACCTGAAGTTAGAATTTATTTTTAACACGTTCAATCATACAGTGTGTATGCCATATTTCAATATGAGATCCAAGGAAAGAAAGGGGGAGGGAAGGGAAGCAGGGTTCGTACCCTTTTCATAAAATTTCAAAGACTTTTTGAGGACTCCGAATTTCACCTTAAACCTTACATTCCCCAGATTTAAAAATCAATTCTCCTTATGGCTACATACATTTGTTAGAGCGTTAATTCTAAAAACTTAAATGCTTGAGTTAAGCAGATTTCCAGGACCTCCGAACTTTTTCCAGGACTTCGCAGTCTTGGGAAATGTCAAAATTAAATCCCAAGACTTTCCAGGTTTTCCAGTACCCGTACGAACCCTAGCGGGGGGGGAGGGGGGGGGGAAAGGGGGTTCAATAACACCTAGATGGGCATGCCATGCTTCTCCAAGAAAATATAGCCTGTTCCAGGCATTCAGTTTGTAGAGCGAAGCCTGATAGTAAACAGCGCTATAGTAGCGGAGAGTGAAAAAAACAAGGGAGGCTTAGGTCCAGTCTCTCCTCCGTCACTATGGTCCGTTTGGTAGTACGCTCCGTCTTACTGTAGAAATTGTTGCCTTGAACAAACTACCGAAAAGCCTTTTACTTGTTGAATTAAGTTCTTATTGATTAAGTGCGAAGGTCGGACAGGAAAATATTTGGCTCATAGACTGATCTCAACGAGGTCCGTGTTTCATAACTGAGAAAACTGACATTGCTATTTGAGAAAAGAAAAAAAAACAAAAAAGCTGTGTTCATTTAAGTATTTGGGCAGTTTCAATTGTTTTTCTCACCTTTGAAGCCTGATAGGCACCAGCAAGTGAAATCAGATATCTCATTGGTGCAAGTTCCATTATTCTGGCAGGGCGTTACAGCACACTTATCCACCTCTATAGAACAGTTGACACCTTTATAACCAGGAGCACACATGCAGCTAAAACTATTCACGCCATCCACACATCTACTTCCATTGTGTTGACAAGGCTGCCACAAACAATCATCAATGTTCACTCCACAAGTTTTCCCTTTAAACCCAAGAGGGCAGACACAGAGATAGTCGTCTACCATGTCAAAACATTTGCCTCCATTGTGACAAGGGAAACTGGCACAATCATCAACATTGACTTCACAATTGTCTCCAGTAAAGCCACTTTGACAGACACATTTATAACTACCAACTTCCTCCAAGCATGTTCCATTGACACACGGCTGTGACTGACACTCATCTATGTCTTTCTCACAGTGTACACCTGTATACCCCAGAGGACAGTTACAGATAAAACCATTTACTAAGTCAATGCATAAACCCCCATGGTGACACTTTTGATTGACACAGTCGTCAATGTCCACATCGCATTGTTTACCAGTATAACCTGGTGAACAAGTGCATTTGAAGTTGCTTACAAAATCAGTGCAGTTGCCTGAGTTTTTACATGGCTGCCTGGCACAATCATCAATGTTTATTTCACAGTTGTTGCCCCCAAAGCCTGGACTGCAGAGACACTGAAACTTGTTGATACCATCAAAACAGAACCCTCCATTCTTACAGCTGTCACCAGTACAGTCATTAATATTTGTCTCACACTTCTTTCCTGTAAAACCTGGCTTGCAGGTACATTTAAAGCCATCGACCAAATCAGTGCATAATGCATCATGGTAACAAGGAAATGAATAACACTCATTGATGTCTACAGCGCATGTCCGCCCTTGGAAACCTGGAGCACACAGGCACTTAAAGTCATTTATCAAATCCACACAAGTTGCTCCATTGCTGCATTGATTAGCTTCACATTCATCAAGATCTATTTCACAGTAATGACCAGCATATCCCTTGGCACAAAGACAAGTATAATTTTTGACACCATCTACACAAGTGGCATTATTTTGACAGTTGTGTGAATGACAGTGGTTGATATCCACTTCACAATGTTTGCTTGTGAAACCCTCTGGACAAACGCAATGTAATGAAGAATTATTAGAGATGCATGTACCCCCATTGCGACAAAAGAATGCATTACATGCATTGACTGAACCAGCACAAGTTCTTCCTATGATTCCCCCTGAACAGTTGCACATAAAATTGTCAATCAAATCAATGCAATCCCCACTCTGACAAGGATTAGGAGAGCAGTCATCCATATTTAATGAACAAGTTGGATCTATGAATCCGTTGCGACAAATACAGTCATATCCTTGTCCATCAGGCCTGTTGATGCATGTTCCACCATTCAAACAAAGTGGATTAGCACAGTTGTTAATGACCACATGACAGTCTTTACCCGTATAACCTGTTGGACAAGTGCAGATGTAACCGTTGACAAGATCTAGACATGTGGCATTGTGATGACAAGGATTATTTGCACAGTCATCAATGTTAACCACACAATCCTTTCCTGTAAAACCAGTCTGACATACACATCTGAAGTCATCCACTGCATCTATACACACACCTTGATTCTTACATGGCTGCTGAATGCAGTCATCAATGTCAACTTCACAGAACTGTCCTGTGAAACCAGGCTTACAGATGCACTTGTATGAGTTTATTCCATCAACACAAGCTGAGTTGTGCATACACATGTGGTCTCTGCATTCATCAATATCTATCTCACATTTTAGTCCAGTAAATCCACTCATGCAATTGCAAGAAAATCCATTGACTAAGTCAACACATGTAGCATTATTGTCACATGGTGCAGATAAGCAGTCATCAATGTTTACTTCACAGTTTCCTCCTTTGAAGCCCACTGCACAGTCACACAAAAAATCATTCACTTGATCGTGACAGGTTCCTAGTGGCAAAAAATGTAGCATTAATTAAGGTTACAACTTAGACACAAATGGGACCCCCAGTCATCCCAAAAAAAAAAAGCTGAAATTTTATGGTGATTCACAATAGACAGGTTTTAAACCATTATAAAGGTTCATTCAGTCAGGCTTTTTTCATGGAATGCAGTATCAAATCATTTTGAATTTCAGATGACGGTTCACATAACTGTACCTTTGCTTTACCATTAGCACTTCTGACCAGTGTCAGCAATGTATGGATTGTGCTCATTCCTTAGCTTAAAATATCTTTGGAACAGAGGGTAAACTGGTAGAGTTCTTAATTAGGGCAATATCTCAAACTGTGGTATGAACCACAAAATCAACTCACCTCCATTTTTACAAGGTGCTTGCTCACAATCATCTATGTCCCTCTCACAGTTCTTTCCTGAGAAACCAGTCTTACACACACAAAGATAATCATTCACTCCATCTGCACATATTCCTCCATTCTGGCAAGGATTACTACCACAGTCATTGAAATTTATGTCACAAAGAACTCCTGTGTATCCTGGAAGGCACGAACAAGAGAACCCATTCACTCCATCAATACATGTACTACTGTGGTGACAAGGTAACTCTGCACAGTCATCAATGTCAATCTCGCAAAACCTTCCCCCAAATCCAGGCTGACAGTGACAGCGAAAATCAGCAACAAGATCTTGGCATGTTGCCCCATTCTTACATAGATTGCCTTGACAGTCATCAATGTTTGTCTGGCAGATAATTCCAGTAAATCCCTTACGGCATTCACATTGAAATGAATTGACCTAAAAATTAAGAAAAATAATATCATTAGCCATTCTTAGTTCTATGCTCCATAAGATATTAACTTCTACATGGCTTGACTACTTTCCTTCCCCTTCTCTACTGGTAGAACCAGCAGTTGAGGATAAACAATGGTCTAACAGGTAGCCAGTATACTGGATTTGGCTTTAAAATTAAGTTGACCAACAATTAAGCTTTAGGTTTAGTGACCTGTATTGCAATCTTGAGCAACACTTTTCACTAGAACTTTCACTGTTTTTATCTTTGGCTTTGAGATATAAATCATAGCACTGTAGCAAGCTGTCGAGAAAAACTGACAAATTGTTAGGGGAATGAGTAGTAGGGTCTACTAAGTTTCAACTACTGCTTCTGCTGTTAAAGAAAAGGTATAAGTGAAGTGAAGCCACTAGGAGTGTTGCTTCCACCCTGGATGAGATGCTACATGTACACTGTAGTTTGCATGTTACCCGCTTACAATTCTTCATGCTAATCCCAGACAATTAGTCATTACCCATACCTATTCCTGAATAAAGAGAGGCACTACAGGAGGTACATGTAAGTGTCTTGTCCAAGAACCCAAACAATGACCAGGCCAGGACTTGAACTCGACCTCTCACCCATATAGTACAGTTTACTAATAATTAGGCCACTGTATGACTCACATCTTCTGATATAGATCAGAAATTCCAGGAATGGGCCTTACAACATGAAAGACAGTAGAGAATTCTAGATTTCAAGTACCTGATCAATACATGTCCCATTGTTATGACATGGATGTGCAACACATTCATTTGTGTCAGTTGCGCAGCTTCTTCCCGTAAATCCTGCTGCACAGTGACACACCTGCTGTCCACTAGCTGTTGTAACACAAGTACCACCATTCAGACATGAGGTGGATAAACAGGAACTATCATAACCCTAAAAAAATTTAGAAATTTAACAAATCTTTGAAGGTAGATATACCAACCCTAATATTAATAATTACTAATATTGGAAACCCCTCATGTAATATTGCATAATGTTCATGCAAGTAACATTGTTTCATGCCTTTGTCTTAACATTAATGTCATTGTCTGATATAGACAAAGTTGAGGGGATGGTTTAACAAAAATGATTCACTGAGCCTCTGTCAGTACAAATGCTGTTCTTTAAGTGTGTTTGTTCACTGGTAATAGATAGAAATGATGTTCATCTTATCTGTTCTTTATTCTTCTGAGGCAGTAAAAAGCTATATAACTGCCATTTTGAAACTAAAGCTTAAGCACTTTGGTATAATGTATTGACTGTTGCAAGAATTTTTTGTAATAATCACCTGAACAACTAAGAGGTTAAATATTCTTTGAGTTGTGTGAAAGGCAACTAAACAGGTTTGCCAAGATGAAAATCTTAGAAAGATCTTTAAGGATCCTGAAAGATCTTCATGAGGACCTTTTGGGATCTTACAGAGGATCTTCATAATGATCTTTGAAAAGTCTCTATGGATCTTTAAAATTATTGTTAAGATCTTCAAGGATCCTTAATTTTTTGGCCAAGATCTTCAAGGATCTTTCATTTTCAAAGATCCTTAAAGATCCTGTGAAGTTTTTCATCATAGCTGATAAAGGAGGTGAGAACTGCAAAGAGGAACACAGAAATAACTTCTACAGTGACCTTCTTTCTCTTCTGCACCAGCATTTCCCAGCTGGGTGTATTATTCAGGAACTAAATGAATATTTCCATAACAGCTGCTGATGGTGTAATTAAGGCTACTGTGCTCTGAATAGGATCCATAAAGGCAGAACCCAAACTAAAGAGCCTGCTTCCAGGCTAAACAGACAGTAGTAAGAGGTCTTATAGGCAGTTGCAGATGACTGGTAACCAGCTTTTATTGAAAGGTCTGTGTAATTACCTTGAGAAAGCCACTCCATAATAAAACAGTAGTGGTGATTATCCTAGAAGTTATCATTCCTCTGTGGAACAAATTATGACCCAGGACTATTAACAATTGCCAAGAAACTTCATTTGAGGAGCTGAAAAAGAAAAGAAAATACGAATAAAAGCGTTTAGCTATTGAATCCCACTTTAGAAGAGGACGTTTGTTTTGGGAATTTTAGACTGTATTGAAACATTACAATTTTTTCTTTATCAACAGAGAGGGTAACTTGCTGACTTATTTGAGCTACAACTTATGCAGACAAGGATTAAAAGATGGAGATACAATTAGGTTCATAATGAATGAGCATAGTGTAAGAAAATGAAAGTTCGATCAATAATATTTACCATGATCACCTGAATGTTATTTTGATTGAAACAAAGAGGATTGTACCTTGACTACCGATAATCATATATAGTTTCTTTTTTTCTGTCCTTTTTTCGCGATATTTGAACTCAATAACCAAAAAATGTAATAAATATTAAGTTCACAGTGAATATAATCAATTGGGTGCATCAAAATTAAATTTAGACAAGCATAAATGAAACATTTTCTCAACGTACAGCTCAACTTAAATACAACAAATTCCACTGACAAATTATTTATAAAGCTCACACTGTGCAAAACTTAGAGAAAACTCATTATTAGCTAGCGAATTAAAAATCGTTACATTTATTAAATAACGAACTATTTGAAACTATCTGGTCATATGATGGCGCGAAAAAACATTCACAGTGAGGCTTTAAAGAAAAGACCACGTTATAAACATAAATTTTCCACAAATTGGTAGCTAACTTACCGAACTGAATTCCATTCACGTTTATAAAGCTCTAGGAGTACAAGGAACGAAAGAACGACGAAATACAAGTCTGCAAAACTCAGAATTCCTTCAGTGTCAAGTATTCACGCCTGGTTTATAGACGCCGTAATCAAGACAACAGACTTGTCGGCGAGAAGACTGGACTTTAGACAAGATGTAGTAAAGGTTATATTCACGGAGGAGTGGGTGACAACTTGGCACTTAAGCGAATGATGAAAACAACCAAGACGAGGAAGAACTTTACTACAAAGAAGACTAATTAAACAGTCCCCTTTTTTATCGAACTGACTTTAACTCAGCCTTACATTTTGATGATAAAGGAATTTTTTTAAAGCGAAGAAATTTTCAATTTGCCGCCCCCCCCCCCTTGCTAGTGGGTATGCCCAAAGTGTATCATAAGGATTTCTCTCCCGTTAAGAAATTCCGAAACTGATAACGTTAAATCGAAACTATTAATACTCTAAATTCAGAATGAATAGAATGGTGATTATTTCTTGTGAATATTATGTTTTTTATCAATTTCTCCCCAAGAATCCCTGCAATTTCAAGTGCGTTTTAATTCATAATGCGTGATATGCTGCTATCTTCTCCATACTATCACAGCGAGGATATGGAGAGCTCAGTTGAATCGCTCAGTTAAATCGAAAGTGCCTAATCAGCTTTCAGTGTAGATGTAACGGTGACTGTTTGGAGGTGTGGATTTGAACTGCTTCATTTAAATGGAAAGTATGGAACGAGAGCCACTTCTTGGAGTAAAAAAATCAGGTATGAAGCATGAGATACGATTTTTTCCTCTGGTTTTCCGTTCAACACTACAAAAGTTTATTTCGCGAATACTGCGTTTCTATAATGTTAGGTTGCAGTACTTTGTTGTGATCTTAGCGACAAAATCTAAGCGCAAGTCAAACAAGAAGAGAATCTAATCCACATACCTTTAAAATTCATTATCAACTAAGAATGTTTCTTTGTCAGTAATCTGAAATCAAGAGCATTGATCAGACGAGAGAAACTTCACGTTTGAGAAATATAGTTTGTGGGCCTGATTTTGTGATGCATAACTGTGTTAAAAGAGATTTATCAGTAAAAGACGTAAAGATACAAGTAGTTATTTTCGTTGTATCTTCCAGTTAAAAAATTGGTCTAGAAAGTAGGTGATTCAAGTGACTCGCTTCGTCAAAGGGGAATTTTAGCATGACTTGCAGACTAGGACATGTCAATGTCTCGTGATCGTAACATGATGATTACGTCTGCACTTCACTGGCGTTAAAATGACATTTACTGATGTTATCGTAAATTGAACTTTCTGAAGCTATCCAACAACATTATTTTTCCTTTAGATATATTTCTTCCAACTCTGAAAAGAGCCGTAGTTCCAAAGGCAAAATATAGTAAACGTTTGGAATTGCCCTTCAGAAGCATATTGATAAATTTACACAATCTATCGTTTACGCCATTGCTTTGTTTATGTACGAACTCTAAGCCCAATGAAGTATGGGACTGTGAGGAAATCTTGCCTTGCGTTTTCTTGGTGATGTTGGGTTTAGCAGTCCTGTCAAAATTATGAATTTCATGTAAAGATTCATTGATATTCAACAATTGTTCATCGTGGTGGAGGTGAATAGTGGAGGATATTCACTGTGTTGCAACGCGGTGAGGTAAATATCCACCACTTTCATTGACACTTTGGTAAATAATCGCTTTAGAATATCTACATCTACTTTTATTAATTGACAACGCTTGCACATCAAGTCACAATTGGTTTCTTTCTATCTTTATATGGAAAAATGACTAAAAGTAGACTTTTGATATGAGGTTTTGACATTTCAGTTGCTGGGAGGTGAAGTTAATAACTGTAGTAATAACTATTCACCAAAGAGAAGGTACTAAGTGGTGGATATTTACCTAGCTGTGAAGTGGTGAGGTAAATATTTACTTCTAGCCACCAACACTGAGGTGAATACTTGTCTCAGTATAAAATAAAACTGTGAGACAAAACAGTACAAAAAGATCACTTGAACTCCTTCATTCCTGCAATTATTACAATATTATTAGTGCAAATTCTGTGAATATTGCTCAAAGGTGAATAAAAAAGGATGATTAGAGTTTAAGTAGCCAATCATTCAGCACACTTCAACACTATCCAGTATTTTAATATATACTTATGCTTATCATTTCTGAGCAGGCCTGAATCAGCACTCGCAGCTCTTTTTATCTGTGTGGATTATACTTATAAAAAATTGTTAAGGGCTCAATGCAGTCTGGCCAAAGTCCCCTGCAAATTGCTGCAAAGAGCCATGAGCTAATAGATATGGGCTATAGAAATCCTTCATTACATTGCTTTACATAACATTACAGAGAAAAGACCTTGGTCACTAAATTTAAAGTGATTTAAGTTGTCAATTTGGTCACTTATGTTAATAGGTCATGTAGCAAGTGTAAAGTTATTATTTTAATGGATAAATAGAATAATAATTATGTTCTACTGCAAGGAAACAAGTTAAAAGAATTTGTGTGTGAACTGGTAAAGGTGGGGTAGACCTTGTTTTGTTACTTAGCTGCCAGCACCCAAGGACAATATGAAGGCAATCCTGAGTTGTGAGGCTTCCTGAGTGGGCGAGACAGATCCATCTTGCCTGCTTGGATAGCCAGTCAGGGTAGCTTGGGAAGCCTGGTTTGATCCTGTGCAAGAAAAAAATTCATAGAGTGAAATTACAAACTGGTAACTTTTTGGACTACGTTGGTGATGAAGTTGCAAAAAGGGGTAGACGGCTGTCCAAACAAAGACAACATAAACAACTGTGGTGGGTTTATTGTGCTACAAACACTGTGTTGGCTTTCTTTATTGGCTCTCAAAATAAACAAGTCATTCTTGATTTTTATTTAAGGGAAATCTGTTTGCTGGATGGTAACCTTGTTCTCTTTTTGTGTTTTTAATTGGACCTTTACTTTGTCTCAGTCCATAAAAACACAAAAAAGAACTCACAGCCAATATTCAGCCATTTTGACCTCGTACTAAGTCAATAATGCATGTTTACTAAATAGGCAAACTCACCCAAGTGTTAGGGGACATAAACTTGTGACCGGGCAAAACCTTTTGATACCAGTAACTTTTTTTAGCTAGATCTTTCAATCTCTCAACAGGTCGTCAATCTCACAATAGATATCCCTACTCTAGATCATCAATCAGCGATGATTTTGATGAAACCTCTGTGTATTCCTACTGTGGGAATAATTATAACATTCCCAGACCAGACAGACGACATGCATATTCTGATACAACATCCACAAGTAATGAAGAGCCTCCTGCTGCAAGGAAAATTAATCGGCCTTACTTTATATGTCTAGTAACAATTGCAAATGTGGCACTTCTTATGTACATCTGTATTGCTGGTGGAGTGGAGACTATTGCTTTTAAGCCAGAACGTCAAAATATATCAGTTGACAGATTTGGATACATAGGATCAAATGATTCAGTGCATAAACAAGATATTTTTCGATATCATGGGGTCAACTGGTTCATTGGACCTAATTCATCTTTTCTGGTTCAGACGGGGGCTAAATTTGGTCCGGTGAGTTAAGAATATTTCCTGCTATTCAGTTTATACTGATGAAGAGAATTTGGTTGATTATCAAGAGCTTCTTTAGTTTTTGACCATCTTCATTATCCTTATAGCTTTAATTAGTTTGAATCAGCTAATATTGTAAAGAGAAACTTGATCTCAGCAACTCTTAGGGGTTTTAGGGTTAAATTTACAAACAGGTAGACATTTTTTTATTTTCAGTTGTAAGGTTTCTTGGCCATGTTTTGTGCACTTTCACAGCACTTGAAGGTAATGAAGGGATCTTATACTGAGAACCCATGCAATCATCGCAAAGACTAGGTGCCATATTTTCACTTCTATTAAGCAGTTGTGGTCACCTTTGGCTGAGTCCCAACAGCCTGTTTGAATGGTCACTTAAAGTGGTTAACCCTTAAACTCCCATGAATGATCAAGACAAAATTTCTCCTTACCATATCAAAATAATATCAAGAAGACAAGTGATGAGAATAAAGAAAAATATTAACAAGGGGATAATTTGTTGATCCAATACCAAATTCTCCAAACTAACATCACGAGAACTATATGACAGACAAGAAGGAGAATTACTAATGAGATCTTGGGAGTTAAACAGTTAAAGTGGAACCACTGTGGCAAAACTAAAAATAAGGTAACAGACCAAAATGTCAAGAACAACTCCCTGGAAAAAAGCTGTTGGAAGACAATAATTGCATTCATTAAATGTTTTTTTCAGTGCATGAAGAAGTTGGAGGTCATAGAAGAAAGAATTAAAAATATATCAGAAAAAGAAGCCGATTATGTTTGTTGTTCCTTTCATGAGGAGTGTGGAATGGTGAAAAATTCAAGGTATGGGTTTATTTTAAAGTAGCACTTACTGGTAATCTAGCAGAGCCCTTTACAACTTAACATCAATAAGTATCTTCTCCATACTGTTCTCTGTACATTTCCTAAAGTATTGAAAAGGAGAATTTGTATGAAAATCAGATGCTTCTTAAATTGGTGATCATTGCCTTCATTCTCATAACCATTACATTTAATTTAAGGGTGACACTGTAACGAGAAATAAGAGGTCAGCCAATCTTGGGGGTTAAAGGGTCAAGCATTCCAATGAGTCCCATAGAACTGGCTTACTAATTTCAAGCTGAGAGCTTCTTCCAGTCAAGGGAAGAGAAGGGAGCTTTCTTTAGAGGGCACCATATTCATTTTATCAATGTTTTGCTGAGGGAATATGCTATCACATGTACTTTGTCAAAAAATCTGCAATTTGGATGGAATCCCTTGTTTGTTTCTTGTTATCATATTGGTCAGTTTTTTATTAGTAACCCTGCTTATGGTTATTTTTTTGTTGTTGACACATTTACTGCTATGAGTGCCAATGAAAATCAATGTGCAATTTTCTTTTAAAGTTGCCTACCAGGTATTATCATTGATACTGGGAACTGTACAAGTCCAAATAGTCATTACTGCAGACATGGTGTTACCCTGCGACCCTGTTGTCTTGGACTTTACTCTCAGTGTGAGGTTATCTCTGAGCAGTATTGTCTATATATGGGAGGTCACTGGCATAAAAACCAGGTACAAATTGAAATTTTTTTGAATGAAATGAATCATTTTTACAGTTACCTTTAAATTTTGATCATGATTTTAGAACCTTCCCTCCCCTTATGTAATCTGAGCTAAAACATGTCCCCAAGATGACTTCTTTAGCTAAAAGTGAATGGACAGTGGGCTGCCAGATTAAATTGGAATAGATTAGAGGAACATCAACCTGCATAAAAATTTATGAAGCAAGGCTTAAAATAACTTTAAATTATAGGCCCTAATTGATCCTTCTGTTAAAAAAGACAATTTTGAAAGTATCTTTATTTATTACATCCATTTTAAAATCACCAGTGATCCTTGCAATCTGATTGGCCTTCATTGGTGTAGTTTATTCACAAATTGTGATATTTTTTTTGCTCTAAATTGCATATTTTTCCTAGCCAATAGGAAGGCTATTCTAAATCACTTGACAACAACCAATCAAATTACATGAAAATTAGTGAAAGCTTTTGCAACTTTTAAAAATCTTGAACTCAGTACTGGATCAATAAAATATCTAATTATACAGACTGAAAAATCCTGTATCCAACTGACTGCAGAGTTTTGTGACCTCAAAATGGATGTGATAAGGTGGTAATTGGACTTCATGCTAAGCAATTGTGGTCTAAAATCATACTTGTTATTACAAATCAAACTTGCGCTTCAGTCTTTCGTTTTGAAATCACGCATATGATTTCAGACCAAATTGCACAGAACGAAGTGCAATTAAACCATTATTAACTAGCCAAATGGTTTCACTCTTTTCAAGTATCACCCCTTGCTATATTGATTTAAAAGGAAGACAGTCATTGTTGTCAGTGGTAATTTGCAATCTGAGCATGCCCGAAGCCAGAAATAAAATGTGAACAAAACTGCCTACATTTGGGTATGAAACAACTGGTTACGAAATGACTGTGGTTACGAAATGACCGAATACCCATCCATCTTGAGCGAAGCTTGGTCTATGATGGCTTCAGGAACAAAAAGATCAGTGCTCTATTAAGAGCTACACTGTAATAATTGTTAATTGTTTTGAGAGACTCAAAAGAAACCAACTGTTTTTGTAGCATAATAAACTCACGAGAGTCGTTTATATTTTCTTTATTTTGACTGCTTTTCTGCTTCTGCTTTTCTTATCGCCGATGTTGTCCAAGAAATACTGACTTTATATGTCCGCTTTAAGTCATTTTTTTTTCTTGCGCGGGATCAAATCGAGCAATCCCGAGCGTACAAGATGGGCCCATCTCTCCCGCTCGAGTGAACAATCAACACAAGATTCGCTTTTTATTGGCCACAGGCACTGTCAGCAATATAATAAAACTTAATTTGACTTCTTTTCCATGTTTCCTTGTTGACATTGGGGTAGACCCTCTGTAGCCAGGTGAATTGCCTTGATGGTATCTGTGGAATGAGTGGTGTGAAGAACGAGACTGGTGGAAAGCAGTGGTACAGATTGATCACGGCAATCTTTTTACACCTCGGTAAGTTTTTTTGGGTTTCAAAGGTTTTTTTGCTGTCTGTGAACCTCCTTCTCAGCGAGGGGGGCATTCCTATTTGACCAGACAAGCTGTATTTGGGGTATTGAATCATAAACGGGGTCTAAGATTTAACTCTTCGGTTTCATAAGCAGAGTTTCTCTCTCCATCTGAAGTATGGAATGGGCAGTGGGTAGTTTGTATGCACAATACGTACCATTTTTTTTTCATCTCTCTTGCTTGCTCCCTTTGTTCAGACGTCACACTTTTTCTGCAAGCAAAGAAACAATTGTGCCAAAGCGCTATTAATGAGGGTGTGCTTGCAAAACTACCTGTGACTGTGAGAGTGACTTTTATTTGTCCCTGCTGTAAATGGAAAAATAATGCTCTGTTACCCAACCCCCTTTTAACGAAAGCGACACTCGCTCCTTTCCCCCCGCGGCTAAACAGAACAGAGCTCGATTTTTCCCCACTAAGTTCTACATGTAGTTGTAAATGGCAACCTCACAATGGCCTAATAAAGGGGAGTGTCATGAATTTTTTTTTCTTTCAGGAGTGATTCATCTAATTGCAAATCTCAGCTTCCAGATTCCTGTAGGAATTTTGATTGAAAGAGAAATAGGGTGGGTCTCCTTTGTTATGATTAACAAGGGCTTTTCATACAAAATAGATTACTAGTAGTTGAAATTTTTTTGTAGTGATGTTTTATCTTTAAACTTTGTGCACTACACGAAATTATAGAATAGTCTAGTTTTCAGATTGGAACGCTTTCAACGGTACTCTGAATTTGAAAACCGTGCCTCTTTCTCGTCTTTCTTTCTTCCCTTCTATCTGTCTTTCTTTTTTCCTACCTTTCTTGTCATTCTTTCTTCCTTTCTTGTTTTTCCCATGCTAACTAGTAGCAAGGACGTTTCTGAGAGGCGACCGTTGGCCGGAAGTAGTACATAACTACTTCCGGTGCGGTTTAACGTCGCCCAATCAATTTCGAAAGCTCTTTCACGTAGTAAATGTTCAAATGGTAATTCTACTTGTTAAGTGATAGTTTTGTCTTTTTAATTTGCGATGGATTGTCATCCCAGCCAGGGACTGTTGCAATTCTCTTAGTCGGAAACTGGGAACAGGTGCGGCCACAGATATGGGTCACTTCGCTCGATAGGTGACTACACCTTTCGTATGAGAGGTGCCCGAGAGTATTCATGCGTATGCTATGAAACTGGCTAATAAACCGCCTGGACCAGTGTTCTCCTACTCAGGCGGTAACTGGTGAAATTTACCGCCTGTAATACCTTTTCTTACGACCCAAAATAGCTTGGGATTCTTGCAAATTCAACAGGATTGCTCTACCGGTTTCAAAATTTCTTCACTCTTTCCTACCAGAAATAAGGGAGAACTTTACCAGACTTGTTGACAGTATAGTATGTAGCCACAACAACGGAACGTCTTTTTGTGTAGATAAGTTTTTTTGTGTTGTTTTTTGATGAAGTTCCCTTTTCTTTCATTAGATCCATTCGGATTGGTTTAATCTACCTGATAAGTGGCATCGGTGGGAATTTATTTTGCGGACTTTTTGATCCTCTGACTCCACAGGTATGTACACGGGTGAATTCGCAAACAATTTTTAATTTTGCGACTCCATGCACACATAACCTCTCCCTAAAAACTTAATACTCACTTAAACAGACGGTTGATGAGAATTTAGAAACAGAAAGAAACTCTTTTTCTTGATCTCTAAAGTTGACAGTTGAACAAAGATATCGAGTCGGAAGAATAAACTAACATCTACTTTGCTGAAGTTTCATTTTAAAGCGAAGCTTGGATAAGCGGCGGCGATTGGGAAATCTATTTAAGGCCTGAACCGTTTTCTCCTAGAAGACAAATAACTACAAAAGTGCTGCGTCCTCTAAAATTAACCGGATTTAAAATTCCGGGTTAAAACATGGTAGAAAAAACTTCATTACCTTCTTAAGCTTTTTATGGGGTTCTTAGCTTTTTCCTTTGTCCTGCGCTCTCTTTGTCTTTTGATTCTGTATTTTCTTTATCGATTAATTGTTATAGGCTGGTGCCTCGGGAGCTCTGTTCGGTATCCTTGCCTTAGTGATAGTTAAAATGGTGCAATTTGGACGTGAAGTGAAGAGACCGTGTGTTGAAGCTCTTATGGTGCTGGTCGTGGTAATGATCAGTTTTGGTAAGTTCGGTAACTTAGTCTATAGTTCGTTCCTTCTCGAACGAATCATTTCCCGATGAGATGTTAAGTGACGTGACGTGATGTCATGTCATTTGACGTGATCACATCTGGTGTCACGTGAAATAATGTCGTGTTTATATTTTTTCATTGCTATTGTTACTTGCATGCCAATCTGACATGAAAAAAGTTGAAATTGAAGTTGGAGTTCTTGAACTGAGGAGGTCTTTTTCTTTTTTTTTGGGGGGGGGGTGGATCACATGGTTTTCAAGGGGAAGGGAGGGGGTCAGTCGTCGTCAAAAGAATATAAACGGGGGACTATAGAAAATGAGGGGGGGGAATAAGAATATTACAGACTTGTGGGGGGAGGGGTAAATTTTTTGGTGAATTTTATTCCGACACAATCAAAATCCTTCAAACCCCCCCTCCCCCCGTCGGTAAATGATGACCAGTTCCCAAAACATGTTTTTTTTATTTTATTTTATGTCACAGCCTTAGGGACGTTACCATACATCGGAAACTTCGTACACATTGGAGGGTTTGTGTTTGGTATTTTTGCCTCGTTGGTGTTCCTTCCACGATCAAACTTTCGTCGATTCCAGACCATGGCTCTTTATACCTGTTTCAAAGGAGTTTTTGCGCTCCTTCTTGCTGCGCTGACTATTGTCTTTTGTATTTTTTTTGCCTTTGACAAAAAGTCCAAGTTCTGTTCATGGTGTCAATACCTCGACTGTGTTCCATATACGGAACATTTTTGTCCAAACATGAATTCAGATGGATATGCAAACACCGGTGGATAGAATTCACTTGTGAATTGATGAAAACAGCGAGATGAAAGGAGATCAGAGCTAAAATAGTGCGCAGACCCTGACGTTATTGAGGCCACACGAGTCCTCTTGAATTCTCGACACTAAAGTAACCACTGTTTTAGAAGACAATTAACGATAGTTGACCTGAGGGAGCAAGAATTGATGAGATTCAAGGAGGACTGATGAGTCCACGTAAGAGTTTGGCAGAGTTCAAGCCTTGCTCATTGTTCAACTGCAATTTCGTAAGAGTATTTTGAGCGGTTTTATGAATTTAAGGATATTCAAGGAGATGCAGTTGTCTCCGAGACAGCTGTTTATTTTTAGGAAATAATTAATTTCTCCTTCGCTTGCAGAGAAACCATTTACATCTGAATAACCCAAGCTTAGGCCTATCCATGCCAGAATGCAGGATATAAGGTCTTAACATGACCTTGTGTTGAATAGAAAAGCCCATCTGTATGTAGGATTAATGTTAGTGATTTCGGTTGTGTTGGAATCCAAGCCAATGGTGTGTTGTTCAAGGGGTTGGTCTTAGAGTGCTTCACCCCTACCTCCATTACTCCAAAACTGTCTCTGATCCCCTCCACCTCTCCCACAAAGCTATGTGGGACAAGAACACGGGCGACCAGAGAGTTTAGAGAACGGATAAGAACTGAGCTGCAATAACTGTAAATAGATGGGCTTTAGGCAGTGGATACAAAGAAAAAGTGAAGGAGAAGTATAGAAGTAGCCAAAACGAAAGTTAAAGTATCTTTTTGACTTCAGAGTGAACATAGAGGATAGATTCAGCAATAATTTTGCTAGTTGCTGCCGATGCAGGGCCACAGAAAGTACTCTGGATATTACTTGTTTTCTCGAGATTTAATTCTAGTCAAAGTGAGCTGAATATAACTTGTATGAAGATTTATCAAATATGTCTGAATTTAAAATTTAAAGCAAATAAATTTGATTTTAAAAGGACATTTTAAAATATGCTGTAGGTAAATACAGTTGATTTCTATTGATGTTGTTAATTATTACAGTGCCTCTTCTGTGACTGGGGCCAAAATTAACCAATCACATGGTAGAAAACGAATAACGACTCCAACTGATTAGTAGTGTCAATCAGTATGTAGGACCAAATCGGGTAAAGATGACCAAGAAATAAGAAGGATTTAAATCTTCGTTTCTTGTAATAAGTTAAGTGAGTTTTTTCGAAAAGACCAAGGTGACAGTGGTTGCGCGATGACTTTTTTGTCCAAAATGGCCCTGCGTCGAAGCGAAATAAGTGGATAACTCGGAAGAGCAAAAGTTACCAGAATTTCAATCTTCTATGCAGAGAAATCGCTTAGAAACGGGTCAAATTTTTCAAAGGAGAGGGGAAATTTAGATCGTGGAGCGGAAAGGGATGTTATTTTCTTTGATCTCTAGTTTTTTGAGGGGAAAAGAAGGAGGTAGTCTAATCTTTAACCTATCTTTGAAGATAATTCTCCCACTGTATGAAGTATCAAGGGTTTATATGAGCCGCTATCAGAGGCCCACAGACAAATTAGCTAAAGCGGAAGAAGTTTGCGGTCAGGCTCTCTCTGTCCTCCCTCACTATTTCATAAAATCGCTAAGCATCTTTGCGGAGATCCAAGAGGGAAATCACGCACTGCTGCATTGGATAATTGCAAGAATATAGCGGGGTAAGCATGGGAACAGCCTAAAAAGATATTATTTTTTATTTCTAAAATTGCGTTATGTTTATTTTGGTCATTAGAAGCTCGGAATATTCAAAAACTATTCGAATATTTGTGGAAATGACCATCGATGCAGTGTAGCACGAGTTTTTAATAACTTCTTCCTTAAGCAGCTGCCTTGGGTATAATAAGTGGCTGTGCTGTAAGGCGAAACCCGATCACGAGATCTGTGGACTGCACAGATGACGGTATGAGGTCTTGTAGGAGAGTTCCAATGGGGTGATGGCTTCTACGGCTACGGTTGAAGTTTTGGTCAATTTACAGCTGACAGTTTATATCTTTCCATTGTTTTCACCGGAAAGTTTTTTACGGTTAATTCTTGTTTACGACTAACGGTCAAAAGTTATCAGTTGTTACACCCAACGGCTAAAGTTTTTGACCGAGTTACGGCACGTGTTTAACCCCATTGAGACCCTCTTATAGGCGGCGGTACACCGACAATAATTGGTTGTGGCATTTTCTGTCAGTTTAAACGCCAGGATCAAATTTCCGTCGACGTCTTTAAACGTGTCATCGGGTCTAGTGAGTCATTCATTCCAGTCGAGCTGGAAAAATCCCAAGAATGCTCTCGACTTTTTGCCTTCACTTTCACTCAGACATGCCAAAGCCAGGATTTTCTTTATTGGCGTGTTTTCCAAGTGAGTCAAGTGGAACTGAGAGAGCTGAAGGCTCAGCTAATGTTAACCAACTCAGGCTGCGATCGATAAATCTTACACTATGGCCATTGGCTTTCACAAAGCGCGTGTTCGTCGAGGCTTTCTTTGATTCTTGCATTCAGAAGGATGAAGACAGATTCTTGGGCATAAACAGACGATGGTAAGCGTTTTTGTACTTGTGTATACTCCTTTGAGGCGAGTTATTAAGCGACATAAGGCGATAAATATTGCATGCGTTTGTCCAAAGCTGTAAGACTGCCGCTTAAGGAACATCCCAATTCTTCTACGTTCTCCAACAGGACCTAAGAAGAAAAGCAAAGCTTGAGTTTTAAAAGAGTTGAGGAGGGTAGATATAAATTCTGACATACCCCTACCCTCAAGGGATGAAAAAGTGAAAAGTGAAAAAGATAGGTTATCTACTACGGCTCTAGCTTTCGAAATGACCCCTGACATTTTTTCAACGGAGAAGAAAGATTGTGTGACACAAATTGTGACATCCTGGTGTCTTTCAATTTTTTGCCAGTGTCTACCTCTATTGAATTTAAAACAGATGATAAGTAAAAGCTGTTTTTCAATGCCAGCAGGACAGGAGCCACTAGTATTCTTCGCTTGTCTCGGCTGAAGAAGGTTGCACTGCGCACATCGTGTAATCGTAGGGGGGGGAGGGGTAGAAGGGGGGGAGGAGGCAGAAGGGGTTTGAAGGGTCAAGGTAAGGTGCTACTAATTGAGTGAAATCTAAAAGGTTGCGTCTGAAAGATTCTGACCAAATTCCAGGAGATGTCTTTACCATGGAGACTTGTAACGGTATTTCTTCAATCCCAAACCACGCATTGTGGTTTTCTCGACGATGGATGCCTTTGGATGTTATTACCATCGCTTGCAGTGTTGAACCGGACAAGATATTATTCCCCTCGTTTATGATCAATCTACACATGAAGGACGAGCACAGTGATGAACAGGTATTAAATTTAAAAGCCCTTACTGATAAAATTATCATGATTTTATGTGGAAAATATTTCGCATAAAGCCTCAATTGAGGAGTTAGCCATGTTACAGTGTAGATTAACTTAAGGAGTCAGATAAATAGATGTACATTTATTGAACGCAACGGCTGATAAAACCAAATGATTTCTTAATACCACCCACTGACGCAGCACCACAGTGCTGAAAAAAACTTAGAACTGAACAGTTAGACCTGAACTTATCTCCTTCATAATACATCTGTTGCGTAACATCAGCAACGTAATTAGGAGGCTTTTTCTACGAGCTTGGGCCATGCACGAGGTTGATACATGTCATAATTGCTGAAGTACCAGCTACATTCAAGCGAAAAAATGACTTGAGATCGATAGGAAGAGACTTTTGGGATGAGCTCTCTGTAAGGAATCAGGACACTTGGCTTAATCTTCTCAAGTTCAAGAGGAGATTTGGTTGCTCTTTTACAGTGCACTGTATTCCACTGTATTCCACACTATTTTCCTCTTCTGTTCGTTGCGAGAATTATGCGTACATCTTGTTAACGCCACGATGATGTTTATGAAACAAATGCACAACTACTACGGGTTGTTTTTCCTCAAAAGAGTTAGGGCACACTTCGCAGCTTCTCTTTGTAAGCTAACTACAATGCGAATGTATCAGCGTATTAAATAGTGTCTCTTTTGCTTTAAATTTGGCAATGCAGATGTTTAATCAACCAAAGAACAAAGGCTGTGATATGGAGCCGTCGTTAGGAGCAGGTACAAACTGGTTCACTCAGATAAATCAGTGTTTTTCTCTTTTACTCAATATCAGGTGCACAGCACACTTGGGGTTGTTCACTTGTTCATCTTCTCCTGCGCGAGAAGTACCTCCCTTGTAGAAGCAGTTCTTGGAAGACAGGGTTTATTCTCTTTCATCCACATAAACGCCCTTTCTGAAGGTAGGTTGGTGTTTGTCTGTCTCTTGTATCGCAAATCTCCCTCTTCGTGAGGCATTTTCCCTAGTTTGCGGCTGATGTAAATGTTTCTTGGGACAAAACTATGCAATCTTGGGATTTGCGTGGCGATCGTTTGGTAGTCTCGTGTTTTCTCAGTGGAGATAAATCCGCCGTAAGATAGGGAGTTTTTTTTCCCACTTCCACGGCGTTACATTTTTAAAACTGGAAATCCCCGTCAAGAATGATAACATTTCAACGAGGAAATCTTTCTTCGCCGTCTTAATGCCGCACGGAAGCATTCATGCACAGAGCAGAGTTAAAAAAAAGCTTCAGAACATCACAGCGAAAATCAACCCCGCACTTTTCACTGAGTCCAAGATACTTCAGGTGACCGTTACAAGTTGAATGTGCATGTTTGTTGTCTATCCACAAGATTGCTCCTTTCTTTCCTCTTTGACAATGTGGCCTGTGTCAGTCAGGTGTGTCAAAAAATGGTTTAGTTAAACAAGGTTTTGCCTGGGCCTTGAAGTCTTTGATTTTTATCTTATAAATGTATGTCACCAAGGTGCGAATTTAGCGGCAAAGTGTTACAGCGTGGCTCGAATCACAGTTAGTTATTGAAGTAATTTCCTATTTGAAATCTTTTTGTTTCTTTGTATAAACGTTCTTCCAGAGGTTCGCAATCATCGTTAAAAAAAAAATAAAAAGAAAAAACCTAAGAACAACTGAGAAATGAACTACGGAGGCTTACGCAACAATATCCTAGGTTTTTTTTTATTCAAAAAGCAGGTAACCACCCTGACAGAAAAATATCGTTTTCGCTGGGATTAGGAAAACCGCATTGACAGACATTATAACTTCTAAGGAAACAACAAAAAAAAATTGGCCACCTGAATATAGGGGATCATGCGCAGTAGTTACTTCTTGACAGATGAATGAATCCATTCACAACTATTGACATGTTCATGTGCGGGACAATAAACCACGTGGTACTACTCGCGTGCGGCGCTCAGACTTATTAAATACCAAGAAACCTGAATATGGAATACAACAAAGTTACTAATTGCCGAACCTACTTCTTACTTGAATTACAAACGATATTGACAGTCTTAATAATTAGCCCATATCGGTCGGTAAATTGTAGCGCTAATGCAACAAAGATTATTGGGGATTCTATCAAATCGTTTGTTGTGTTTCTGGAATTCCCGACGCTCACGAAAAAAGCTATTTTAAAAGTTACGCGCTTATCAGAAGGAAACTTTAAAGGTTTTATATATCTCTCTCTCTCTCTCTCTCTCTCTCTCTCTCTCTCTCTCTCGGGCAGTCAATTCTAAGTAGTTCAGTTTTATTATGTGTTAAAGTTGGCAGATGTATAAGTCAGACGGGTGTGTTACAGTAGGTGTGTTTCATTAACTTAAGTATTAGCAAACTAAGTAAGGCTATGGGTTTGTGTTCCACAAATTACTTCAACCAAATTGTTAGTCACGTCTTGTTTTTTAGTAATTTTGTGACACATTAGAGAAAATGGTTTGAAAAAACAAGTGAGAAAATGAAACAATTCACCCAGTTCCTTTATGTACACCATGAATTAAAAATCTGATAATCTGAACTGGCTAAAAATTCGGAACAAATCTCGTCGGTTGGTACTGCTGAAAAAGTAGAGTTGATGATGAAAAAGTGCAAAAAATAACCCAACAATGGAACAGGGAAAAAGAACGGGACCGGCAAATCATTGCAGTTATTAGCTACGAGATTCTTGTTGTTCGCTCGTGTCCTTTTGTTTACTTTTCATGAAGATATCATTATTCACTTGCCACGGAACTAGTTTCACTGACAATAGTTCTTTATTTCGCCGAAACGTGTGTACAACAGGTTCCATGTTGGTATTGAAAAGAAGGTCCATACACGCGGCCTGCGCACAGCCATTATTATAAATTACCACGATTTAATGGTAATCTCCATTAAGCAATTTGTTCAAGAGTTAACTTTTCGCATCGAGACTGTTTGTCTTTGGAAGATGTCGAGCGACATCTTTTCCTTTTCGTGTAGCGTCAGCTTGAAGTGGAAATAAATGCAAGGAAATTAATTTCTGTCGTGTTACTGAACAGTACACTGCAGACAACGGATTCCCGAGCGCCGTTTTTCTTAGTTTTTGGCATGTCAAGCCATTTTCTAACAATAAAAATGGTTGCCGGAAGAAATTATCATTTCCACGAAAAAATCGCGCCATCTGCAAAGTGTTTATCTAGTCTTAATTTTGCATTTTCTCTTTTATTACAGTCTTTTTATGAGCCGAGTAAGCTAAATCTCTGCATTAAAGCTTTCTTGTGGCTTTCCGCAGCTGCTAAACACCATTCAAAATTGTTTCTAACAAAAATATGGAGTTCCAAATAATTTCCCTATAATTTTAACAGCACTTGTTACATTATATACAATTTCTCTCCAACCCTTCAGAGCGAAATTAAAATTTGATGTTATGTTATTAATGTTTTTGAACTCGCAATACTCAGGCTGAGAATGTCCCTTATGTATATAAACTCGCGTGGCGCTGTCGTCCGCCGTGTGTTTTCTTAAACGCACCCTTCGGCGTTTTATCAGATTTGAAGTTCGTGGTATTCCGAAGCTCCGCGAAAGTTACGGCCATGTAGGAGTTCGTAACCCATCGTCTTCAAGCTTTGTTATGCTCTAAAAATAATAATTATATCTGCTAAACAGTTTACAAAGATTCGACAGAGTGTCGCATAACAACCGTTGGTATCATGGTGGGATATCAAAACAAGTGTTTAAACATTGCGGTCGGAATCCAAAATTTTTTTTGATTCTCTTTGTTCGTTTCAAAGAGTGTTTCTGGGAGTAAATTAAACCAATTCATCATGGATATTTAGTTCTTTACGGCACGTGGGTGAGTTTACAAGAGTCTGTGTCATTCTGTAAACTATCAACAGTGGTTTTTTCCCATAAAGACGATTATTCGACTGTCTACTTCACAACCGGCCAAAATATGTCGTGCGAGACGTTAATCCACAGCCATGATTTCTGAAGACAGCTTTGTCTTCCCTTTGTTAGTTTCGCCGTGAGAGAAGTCTCGGTAATGAAAACTGGATCAGCAAGTGAATTAATTTAGCTGCCCTTCTGGTCGACGTATTGGAGATTTTAGCGAGGAATAAATTCCGCAAACAATCTTAACATGCACAAATTTTGTCGCGATCGCAACGGTGAATTTTGCCTGATCAGTGGCCACTGCCGATGCGACTTTAAACAGTTTCGGTAATTACTACTCTAATTAACAATTTTCAATGCAGACTCCTCCGTGGGTTCCCTTTTGGGGTGGAAATTGTCTGCGGCTATAAGGTTCGATTTTGATGAACGGCCGTTTTGGAAAGTGACAAGTTGGAGAGATTTGAATTGTTTTTGACAATCTAAACCAATAAACACCTTAATTTGGTTGATGAAAATAATTACGACTGTCAATTAGACTCCAAGGAAAAACCATTTCTCACGGCTCGCTTCTGCACCTGCGAGATTTGCAAGTGAAATAAGCTTTTAGACAATGACAAGGCTCAATTAGATATTGTCGTGTAGCCCTATCACGTTCACCTTCAGAAGACCGTGCACAATAGAAGTAGCGGTTTGTTCCAAAGGGACGTGAAGGAGGAATTATCTTGAATGAATCGTTCGTAGAGTGAATGCATTTCCTGTGATTCTCTGCGAGGGAAAGCGAGCTCGATTTCGCAATTGGAAGGCTTGTGGGCAGAAGTTGTGAAAGGTTTAGGACTTAATTTCCGGAAAAAGTCGGAGAGTCCTAGGAAGGCTTTTGGAAGCGCCTCTCCTCTGCATACAAAGGTGGGTTTGGATATGTGCCTTTGGGGGTAATATTCATCATGATTTTGTAGGATTTTCATGTAAAGAAAAACATGACAAACATCGTAAAATATGTGGTTTCAACCTTCAATATATCGGCTTGTTTTCGTTAAGTGAATGTAATTCGAATTTATGTGAACGATCATGAATCATTAATTAAATTTAGCGAAACATTGTAAAGAACATTTCTTAGATTAGATGCCAATGTCGGTAGAGAGCTGCAATAATACTCTTCCGCCAAACCTACCATGAGAAGCTCTATTTTTTTTTTTCGGGGAACCTTTTTTTACAATAAAACAAACGGATTCTTACAAAAGGTGACGTCCGAGTCAAATCAAATTAGTGTTATCTGAAGAATTCTTTATAAATGAAACGCTTTCAAATTATTCCCAAACGTAGCACATAATGATAGCGAAAACATTGCAAGAAATTCCTCTAGAAAAGACATTTTAAGATAAAGCAAAATTTTAATTAATAAAAGTCATAAATCAAAGTTTCAAAGTAGCGCTCGGTACAGGTGAATCTTTGCTCGTGTCTTTGTAGACAGTGTTTCAGAAATCGTGATTTTATTTTTTATGTAATGATTACTCTTCTCGAAAACTTATCGTAGATGAGCGATTTTCATAGCCTGCATATTTGCCGTTGTGTTTTCATGTTGCTCTCGTACCTTGGAATTTAGACGAATGTAGACCGCAATGTTTACAGCGGTGTAATTTCTCTGGTGGGGTTGTTTTAGGTGTTGGCAATTGCTTTCTGTTATTTTTTTAACCACAATGGTGGGTGTTTTCCAAATTGTATCGGTTTAAAGACCAGGCTTAGACGGTTCAAGATTGGAAAACACGGAAAAAAAATTCGAGAGAGAAATTCATGGTAACACCTAAATCAGTGCCTGAAAGCGGGTGAATTGTGTGGTGCTAGAAGTAGCAGGTTTTTTTGTTGTAGGTGACTACGCGCGAGCAATCTCGCGCCATCTGCATCTCTGTACCTTTGCATAACTTAAACCTGAGCTTGGCGATCTGCGGTTTGAGCTCATAGCACATGTTAATCTCGTGTGAATTGGGCCAAATTACGTCCATTTAAGGTCTACAATTCACCTGAGCTCCAGTTAAATTCCTGTTCGGTGTTTTTCCAGTGAAAAACAACCTAACCGTGGGATAACATTAGTGAATTTATTAAAATTTTTGTCTAATATACATGGCAGCTGGGTGCGCTTGTGTGTTGACTTTCACTCGGCTCCCCTTCTCGTTACGCATTCTTCACTTCTTTCTTAAAATATAAACCAAGGCGGCTGGTCGTACATTATCACACATGCTATATAACTGAATTAGACCCACACAAAGGGTCTTTGCAATAGTTGGAGATAAGCTATGTTCCACTAAGTGTATTCATTTAAAAGGTGCTAGTGAGTTGCAGGTGAACGATTTCTTTCGTCTTGCTGGCTTCGAACGCTTCGCTCGTAAGGCTCGAGAATTTGAGACTGTCTCCAGGCACTTGATATAGCCATAAATTTATGTTTAAATTGCGACATTTTTGTGCACTTTACAAAAAATAAACAATTTATGGAAAGACAATGTCGCTCTTTTGAAGCCGTTTACATAGTGTGGGAGAGAAGCCGTATTATTCGGAGTTTCCCTTGCAGCACGTGCCCGATGGATTGTTATTGCTTGTGTAGTACAGTGGTGTAAGAGCGTGCGTTAAACGGAAACCCATTTAGGAAAGAAACAGAAAATAATTTAGGAAAGAAACAGAAAATAATGAAATTGACAATAAAGAAGCTCATGTTTGTTAAACTGTAATGTAGCGTGGTGCGCACGATTGGAAAGAAGATTACTTGAACCTCAACGTGTAATCGTATTATAGTAATCTACTGTTGATCTGCGCGAATGCTACTTAATTTACAGCACACGTACGTACTGTTGCTTCGTGAACGTAATTGGAAACATTATTTGCCCAAATTTAACATTTATTTTTATAGCTTTTTTCTATTTATTTTGTTTCGTGGGAATTTATTATTAGTTTATGCTGATAACGTGAATGATCGAAAATGAGCGTGTTGGACCGTGAGGGAACATCTAAGTTAACCCATTTCCACGAACGTGAAGCTTTGTTGACAAAGAGTCTGAACTTTCCATGAATTTGGTTCCTGTTACGTTCATTCATGTCATTCTGTCTCGTACCTCGACTCAATCGATCCAGTTTTTGTGGTACTCCCAGTTATTTTCTTTCTTTTGAGTTTTGTTTCACAAGAGAGGAAGGCTTACGTTTAGTGACAGGAGTAAAAAGGGGGCTTTCAGTAGTTGCTATGTCTCACAAAGAAAGATATGCCTGGTCCAAATTTGTGTTGTCGGAAGTCAACGAAGGTTTAATATTCTACATCCGGTATGATGCACCAAACATCTCTTAGTTTCATTTCGCTTGTGTGCGCGATAAAACTCGCCGTTGTTGCGAACTGTTTTCATTCTTCTTTCTCTTCGTGAAAATTTCATCAAGGAGACAATAGAATTTGAGACACAAACCAAGTCAGTGTTTTAAAATCCACAATGTGCGTGCTTTACATATGGGTTACAACCGTCGATCATTTAAGCCTGAAACTTCAGACGTTTATGAAACCACTAATTGCAATGTACACCAATAGCGATCTTAAGTGCTCATGTTACCCGAGAGTTCAATGCGACAAAGTGGTGTTTTGTACTCAGATCTGGACCTTTTAACAATGACATATACTGAAGTGCTTATTCCGTCGAGCGACTGCACATAGAAGGGTTTTCTTTTTCTCTCTTTTTTCTTAGGCTTCTGACAGAAACACTCTGAGCGATGCACCTGCGTTCACTGGTTTGTGGGTTTACCCCCCAAGGGATGCCTTTATGGCAAATCTCCTTGTGAATCTTTTGACTTAGTAACAGCATATTCTTAAACAGGTAGGTTTAAAATGCACCATAGTCAGACCAGCTGACGTTTCAATGCGGAGTTCAATTAATACTCTGCCTTTCTACTCTTTTCGCGCTGCTAACAATGCGTTTCTTCTTTTGTTTATGGTTTTGTTACAACCAGTATTCCATGAAAAGTCAAAAACGTCAACGTAATGTCTTCTCATAGTAATTTTTAATTTTTTTTTTTTGGACAAAATGTAAGGTATTCTGTGATAAAGGTAACAAAATATATGTAAAAAAACACAAAACATTAATGCTAGCATGAAAGCGTGACATTTTGGTCATAGTTACAGACTGTTTACTGTATTTCTATTGTAATGTAAACTTCCTTGTAATTTATATTTGCGGACGGACTGACGTCGAGGTCAAGTTATATTTCAATGCCTTGTATTTCTTGTCAAGGTGCACTTAGGCCTTCCGGAACATTTTCCTAATTTTTATCTTCACATGTGCAAACTGAATCATCGATCATTCAGATTGTGGTCAAGGAACGGGCGCGGTGTAGTCAGTAGCATTGCGTGCACTTTTTAATACCACAGAAGTTAATTGTTTATTTTGTTAAGTAAAATTCTTCACAGGCTCATGGCTTATCGGGTTGAGGAACTCACCTCGTTTATTGTTGTTTTAACCTTACGAAAGGTTTTAGGTCCGAGTATTAAGCGATTAGGAGAATTGGTACTTCCCTCAAGGCATGATGAACATGCAACATCTCTTTTCATTATCAATGCGTAATTCAAAAAAGATCAGACGGTCGAGAAAAGACAAACTCATCAGAAAGTTCTGTCTTGATATAACACCACATTCTCTTTACTAATTTGCAAGGACATGTATCGCAGCTCCAATGTCTTGTTATCTTGCTGTTACAGTTCGCTTCTACTTATTGGAACCTCGAGGTGATTGATAGTAGGCCAAGGAACTTGCGGACTTTATTGTCCAGTTTTGTCTTAGGATGTTCAGAGAAATTGAGTTATATAGAGCAACGTTACTTTTCTTTTCATGGATGCTAGAAAACCTCTATATGGGGTTGCAGATGTTGTATTTTTAACAATGTTGCATTTGTAACAATGAAGCGGGTTTAATGTGTTTCTAGAGCGCCCCACAGAATGTACAGCGCAGATCTTTCCGTGAAATGACAAATTTACAGCTTCAGACGTTAAAAATAGGTGGTCTACTACGGCGTCAAACACTACAAAATGAACCATAAACTGGAAGTCCGAGTTACAGGGATTTGTATTAGACTTGAACTGACTGAACCAAGAAAATCGCCAATTTAAACCTTCATCTCAACGTTTTACGTTTTAGAACAGCCATCAACACAGTTCAGTTTAGGGGTCATCTCAAATGATACGTTACCCTAATTGTCAAAAGTATGGAAGATGTTAACATCATCTCGTTGGAAATTCAGCTGCTTTCTCTTCGTCCCACGCTCTTGACAAAGCGAATTATAACTTTCTTCGTGTCATAACTTGTTCTAGTATAGAATTATCTTTTTGCTAAATAGGAACCTTTTACCAACGAAGTTTTTTTGTGTCGTTTTTTGTTATTAAAGAGTGAGAGAAATTTTGCAGCTGAAGATGAGATCGGCAGAATCTGATTATATTTATCCCTGATCCGGGTCTGAAGTATACTCTTTTTGTGAAAACTATTTCGATTGATTCTTTAGCTCGAATCTCTTCGTGTGGCATGCTAGATGGCCTTGATAACCTGTTCATTATCAGGAGTTACAGCTTGCAGGATTACGATTTAGACTTGTTTATAAGAGTAAACAGATATCCAAAGTATGTTGACAGAACCGCATAAGCAGGTCACGAAAGAGCAAGCTTGTCGAGTGCATGAGTCGTAGGCCTCAGATGGAAAAAAATCTTGAAAGAATCGCCCCATAAAGTTTATAGAAAATCGTCAAAGAAGTAACAAACTCACTCCCAAACATGAATGGTTAGTGTGGGAGAATATAGCCGAAAATTTCTGTTGACGTAACAAACTTTTAACTCACGGTAGTTCCACGCATTTCCGCATGTGATAAGTGTGCCTTGTCACAGTAAATGCATGTTACGGAGAGCATAAATTTTTTGTCGTCTTCCATCCGCTTAATTAATTAATCTTCTTGATCCGCAAAGATTCTCGCGTCTTTTTTAGTTTTTCTTTCTACTTTGGTCTTCTTCGTCCCTTGCAAACTACTATTTTAAATTTCTTTTTCTTTCAACGAAAATTTCCGTGTTGCAAAAAAGAGTCATGTGGGCTAGTTTAATTTTCATAGAACACAAACCTCGTCAGTTTTTAGTCTACCCTCCTCCTCCCTCAGAGGAAAATAAACACAGATTACACTTTGCAAACAGTTTGAGAATTACGTGGAACTTGAGTTGAATATGACGCTTTTTGGATGGCCTCACGAGCTTCATGAGTTCAGTTCTGAACAGTTCTGTATGTTTTTTTCTTGTGGATTTTCAAGCGACACCATCACAGTGGCTGAAATTCATACAGCTGCATTTTGACTCATGCCAGAATTCATGCCAGAAGGTGATACCATGTTGTCATTACTCTCTTGAATAACACTGGGCAGAGATTATGAAAGGCGAACATATCAAAGTATTTCTTTCTACTTTGGTCTTCTTCGTCCCTTGCAAACTACCATTTTTAAATTTCTGCATTAAAAGAAAATTTCCGTGTCGCAAAAAAGAGTCATGTGGGCTAGTTTAATTTTCATGGAACACAAAACTCGTCAGTTTTTAGTCTACCCTCCTCCTCCTCCCTCAGAGGAAAAATAAACACAGGTTATACTCTGCAAACAGTTTGAGAATTACGTGAAACTGTAGGTGAATAAGAAGATTTTTTTTGTGTCGCCTCATGAGCTTCATGAAGCCAGTTTTAATCTGTATGTTTTTTTCCCTGTGGATTTTCAAGCGACACCGTCACAGTGGCTGAAATTCATACAGCTGCATTTTGATTCATGCCAGAATTCATGCCAGAAGGTGATACTATGTTGTCATTAGTCGCCTGAATAACTCTGGGCAGAGATTATGAAAGGCGAACATATCAAAGTGTAAATATCTGCCAAAAGGAGATTAGAGTCGGGGATTATCAAATCCATGCGACTAAAGAAATACCAGTTTTCCTTTGTATTTTTTTTTTGTCGTCAAGTGGGATAGTGAGTGCTTGTCGCTGTTCTTTAGACTTTCTCAACGAGCAACGAACAAATCGATCACCACAGGTACTGAGATTTAATTTTACGTTTTTTCCCTTTTCTTTGCAGCTCATGAAAAGACGTTGTCAGACTTTTGTTGACTGGGACGTAACGACTCGACGATCAGTGATTCTGTGGGATTAAACTGTTGCTTCTTGGTTTCGATCGTTGATTAATTCATCTGACGCAGGTTTGAGTCCGTTTATGTTTCACTAAAGATAATTTATTCACCACAAAAGGCGTAAGTCCAACAGACGTAGTCGGTTTATGAACGTTTTCTTTCCCAAGTTTCGTCCAGTACCATTTCTTGGCCGACCATACGGCACACAGAGGTGATTAAGATGCAATTTCTCTATACAATTTCAATACATTATTTTACTCAGCGAGCAGGTTAAGATTGAGAAATAGAGAAACTTCATGGTTGGAATGTGATACCTTGATATACACCAAATTCTCTTAACTTATTCGTAAGGAAATATAGAGTAGCTAGTAGAGAGAATTCCTTCGTAGATCTTGGGATTTAAAGGGTGATGCGCGCACATTACAAACGCAGGAAACTTAGTATTCCTTTTTTTTTTTTTCTTTTTTGTCCATAGTAGTAGCAATTGTCAATTCAACTGTTGTTAGTAAACTACTGTAGTTTAACGGGATGGCCCAGTTTGCGTCTAGATGTTGGGTTCATATTTCTATAATCGTAGAGAAACAAACAACTGAATTATTATGTTATCCTAATTGGTATGTGCGGGCCACACATCCATCTTTACCACATGATACAACTTTAACAAGGTTTTCAAATGATTGTCGGAAGTAATCTGGGATTAGGTTAGTTTTCTTTTACCACGCTCTGTGATTGGTCCAGAAATCTCGTGCCACCATCTTAACCAATCAGATGCAAAGCTAAAAACAATCGCGGCTTGGTCGCTCACGTTTTCCCGCGCTTCGGGCGATTGATATGTTATCACATTTAGTTTTCTGTGGTGAAATTTTCCTTTTATCTGATTGGTCGTTACGATGTTCGCTGCTGGGTTTACGACGCTCATTCGAGAAGCGTCGGATTTAGATCAACCGTGAACTTCGCTAAACAGAGTTGCTTGATGACTCTATGACAAGAACGGTTCGGTCGTGATGTATATCGCTTGGAGCGCTTTTTTTTCGGCACTCACCTTTTCCCTTGCTTTAAGATGGATCAGCTCTTTTTTAATCGGATTTAATGGATCACTCGATTTACCACGCAGAGCAAAAATGCTGGTACCAAGGGCTTGTTTTGAAAATCCTTCTAGTGCCTTGATAGCGCCGCAAAATAAGGTTCAATCATGGGAAGCCAATTCCGCATACCCGCTAGTTAGGAGAAAACATGCTCTCTATGTGGCGGAATCAGCCAGTCGTCTGAGAGAATTATTTCCTCCCAACGTCACTGACGAATGGTGCGTTGTTGGCGCCACGAAGTTGAACATAGTTGAATAATAAACCAATAAACAAACAAATAAGCTGACTGTAGATACGAGAAGATAGAAAATTACCCAACGTTTTCTCTCCTGAGATCTAAGTAACAGTTATTTGCAATTTCATCAAGACCTTTCTTTTGAGTTTAGCGCTGAGAATTAGATGCTAAATTTGCAACTTGCGCGGGGTGTGACTTCGCCGATTAAGGGCAAGTTGGACGAACCACCCTCCCATAATATGCACTATAATTTCAGTAACCACCACATTTAGGATTCCTGACGAATGCCAGCGAAGGAGAGTAAGAAAACATCGTTCTACTTTGCGTGGCTGGCTTTTTTGTGTGCTTTTTGTAGTGTCAAGAAACGTAGCCGCGAAAACGAGCGATGATGCTACGAAAGGCTTTGGACGGACGAGTGGCTTCGCCTTTCATCTGTTCAAAGCTCACGCAAATCCGCCTGTTAGGCCGCAGGCTAAAATCCCTTGGTCTGGAAATACGATGGCTCCTTACCGTAACATGCCAACGAGTTCTTGTAACAAGTGTCAGTGCTGTTACATTTAATCCAGGGCACATGAAAAGTGATATTCGATATGTTTCCTGGGTCACTAACAACGTTCATGAATAATTTACGGATGTCATGACATACAAGTTGTCTCCAGCAGTTGTCGGTCTTGTTACTGCCGCACAGATGGGGACTACATGGATTGTAAAATTAATTTAGCATGATCAGGCTGCTGTATTCGGGTGAGCAAGTACAAAGAATAAAACAATGTTTCTCCCGTGAGAAGCTCTATTAGCTTTCCCACAAGATGTTCTTGTGTGCTGGCTTATTTTTTTCTAGATTGGCAAAATGAGACAAAGTATGCGACCGATATCAAATGTTTATTTCGACGTAAGCGAACATTGAAAACTTCTCATTTCATAGGATATACATGATAATACTTCTAAGTGAGGTTACCCCAGGTTCATTGTCAAACAGCTCCATATATTTCTCTGAAATAATGCATTGACATGGATGAGGAGTAACACTGCTGTCCGCCGGAGAACAGATACAGGTGATGCATGGTTCTCGGAGAACTCAGCCTGGGCCCTCTGATTCAGGCCAACTTTCTCATTTTTTTTTTTTTTTTTTTTTTTAATATTTCGCCCGAGGTTTCCGGTACTTGACATGCATCAGAACAGGGAGTTTAACGTGAAGTAAACAGTTCCTCTGTTTTGTCTACTAGTTCTTCCAATCCAACAGAAATTACAAAAAAAAAAGCCCATCTTACGAAATGACACAGGGTAACGGTGGTGAATAGCTCCGATCTGGAAAAAAATGGCTACAGGCAGAGCGAGCAATTTAGGTTCTGCACCAATTCTTCAAAAGGAAATCTCCACCGGGAGTTTTCCGACATTCTGAAGTTGACCATTTTGGCTTTTGGAAAGTTTTTAACTGTAAACACGAAGTCTAAAGCACAACCGTGAACAAAGAAATTATTTTCGCCGTAATGTTGTATAAGAATGTGCAAGAAAAGTTGCACTGAACGTGCCGTTTAGTTTAAGGCCAAAGGTGCTCTTTGCGCAGAAAGCTAGTCGAGTTCCAGCTTATGTTTGTTAGTATTTCGTTTATGATGACAGAGAAGACAATGTGAAGAGACTTGAGCCAGCTCCTCTCTCAGTTGTAGTCGGTATCCTGACGCAGGTGTTCTTATCTTCTACCCTCATTAAAAATTAACATCTTGCGTATTGGAACAACATTTTTTTAACTAAGTGCCAAGAATATCTCACACGGTTTGCATAGACGCGTTACAATGTAATTACCATCGATTTGGTTTCGTCTCTCGATGGAAAATTCGCGTTTGGGACTCACTGGTAAGACTGTGATGAAGTTCAATGCCTCGTGCGAATTAACTGGCTTGGTGGCAAATAGCGACAGTTCTCTGATTTCACTCTCTATGGAAGGTTTTTTTTTTCGTGTCTTTGTCAGTTTCCGTTAGAACATGGCATTCTGCGAGATGTGCATGGTACTACACGCCACACTTTAAAAGAAATCCAACTGCCTACGACACGCGTTTTTTTAGTTCACGAGTCTTCTAAAGTGTTGACGACCAGTTTGGATGTCCCGTCAAGTTCACGTAAAACGTGTACGCTTGGTCTTTGTGTGTGCGTTTACTGACAAATAATGGGGAAATTTCTTACCGTCATTGTAACACCTTAGTGTATTCTCCCACGCAGTGTTTATTTTTTGGATTCAGTCGAAGTTATAATGCAATTTTATTATGTCTCGTAGAGGATGTATTTTTTGAGTTTCTTTACAACCCTTCTGTGCCCTTTTGCTTTTTTTCCCTTAACCAATCTTACTAACTGCGTGGTGAACTCACTTATTCAAACAAAGACGCATTCATGTGAGGTTATGTCTCTTCACTTTTGCAGTTTGAGTTCAGATCAATCTATTCCGTAAAGATGCTCCTAAGATGTTCAACCGTGAGGAGATCATTTGTTTTTGTTAGCAGTGTGCTGAGCTGCCTTTCTTTTTTAGCAGGTGAGTGTACTACATAGAGACTCACAGTTAAACTTAAGAGTGTCCTCGTTCTATTAGCGCTCAAGGGCAAATTATTGCGCAGTCCATTAGCCGCTTGCAAAGTCCGTACTATGATTCTCAGTTCACCCTCAAGTTGCTTGATATGGTCGAATCATTGCGTGGTTTGTTATTGTTTTCATTCCACTTCTGCTCAAAGACAGGTTCATTATATGCCGTAAACGCGCCAGGACAGGCGAACCATGCACGTTTCCTCAAGCGTACGTCAGATGTTCGTATAAACGCGAGTATAGTTTAGACAAAAAAGACGGGGAACCTGAGATGAAGGTCATTTTTTCCCCTGAGGATTTAGGGATAACTAACATATCACAAACATTCTTCATACGCGGCAGTGTAGTTCAATAAAGGTGATTATAAGCCGCTTGGTAACACATTGCAGTGTGCAGTGCAGCCGTACTCGTAAAAACTTAAACTACATAACGTCATAGTCACAAACTGACATTCAAGATTTAAACAAGCATTCAAAATTTCACCCTTGGTCAAGGTTAGATCTCTTGCTGTTTTGTTTTTTTCTCAATGACTGAAAAGGAGACACGCGCATTTCCTCAATTCACAATACCCACAGTCAAGAAAAGCAAAATATACAAGCAGAACTTTCATTTCTTTGCATTTTATCCTGTTTTTACCGCGGTTCTACGCATTTGTGTCTTTGCTGGTAATCTGCCTGGAGACGAAAAAAACCTCGTGGTTGGGTTGTTATTAAAGTGTTTGAAGGAATTTCTGGTGGTTCTATAGACTAACAACACGTGTATGTTTTTAGGTCTAAGTTTAATACAAAGACTTGCTTCAGATTGTTTTTCAATCGTGCGGATGTAAGATGGTTGCGGTGTAATACACACATTTTAAACTTTTGAAGACTCCCTTCCGTCAGAATTCTGACTTAAAGCTGACGAACGATCAAATAGTGTTTTGTTGTTTTTTTTTTGCCCCACAGCGCTGGTTCGCCAGGCAACAGTCATGAAAACAATGCTCTTAGAAGATATCAGCTGAGTACTATCTCTGACATTTTGAATGAACTTAACTGTGACGTTTTAAATGAAAATAACTGTTGGTGATTATGAACTTGTATCGATATTTCTCAACTCGATTTTTTCTACTACTAGACGTGTTTCGAATTGACAGATTTAATTATCGACTTTTTGTTAAACAAATTGGTGAAATGTAACAATAGTATATCAATAATTCAATTGTTTTGCCGATTTGGGAGATTACATAAGCATGACTCATGCAGCCTTTTCAGAAATTGAGTTTCGCATGACATAACATAAACCCACTAAAATCAACGTCTTCATTTTGTTGAAACCGTATAGTTTTTGTTTTTAACTGGACGTTTTTCTTCTTACTATCGCCGAAGTACCTGGTAACAGGTTGTAGTAATCCACTGATGACTGAATCGCTATTTTAAGACTGTTATTGTCTTTCACCTTTTAACAATTCACAAAACTCAAAGCTAAAAAGAAAACGAACCAGCGAAAAGTTCCAGCGAAGTTTTCCGGGCAATAACCTATTCTTTTATTCCACTCGAATGAAATCAGCGAATTGTTTATTTTAAATGGTTTCGTCTATTGATACTTACACTATTAACGTTATCAGACTGGCTGTCATCCAAATTTCTCTTGGGCTTTTTAATAAGGGAATGTAATGGTGCTCCTCCTTTTTTCCCCCCAAGGCAAAATCGATACTAAACCAATGAATTTATTTCGATAGTGCATAAACCAGAGTTTCTTTTATTTACATGATTCAGTTTTCGGATGTTTTCCTTCCATCGACAGCGTCAATTTACTAGCAAATTTAAACCTAACGAGTGACGACCAATCTCGAAGCTAGTGTTGATGATTCAATTACCCCAAAGTGGGTGCCAAGCGTAGCACTGTTTTTTCTTGTTTTTGTTTTTGTTTTGTTTTTTTGCTTCCACTAATTTTGATCCTTCTTATTTGTGTGTGAAACGCAGACATGTCTTGCGCCACTTTGCTCGAATCTTCAAGTATGCGAAGTCTGGCGGCATATTTGAAGATTCGAGTGGCTTAGGCCGTGATTTTTTCTTGTTTTTTGTTGCTCAAGCATGTCGGTGTGAATCAAAATGTAAATGACTTCAATTCTGAAAAGAAAGATCTTGAGCCTCAACGAGAAATTACTGCATCAACAATTAGATTGCGACTAATTTACCGGTAGAAATCGCGTAGGATTTAGTGCTACAGTCTAAACGCCGTTTAATCTTGGGTTCAGCAGAAGAAAGAAAATTAATCGGCACTTGAACAATGTGAGAAGATTTAGAACCAGTTTAAGGCGTCCAAGGCGGGTGGAACGTAACTACTTTATTAATAATGGGAGTTAAAAGAGGTGACGTTGTTTACTATCAACAGAGTAATTTGTGAATAACCATTACAAACCTTGAAAACTGAGGTGAGAGGAGACAAGGATGAAACCTTTACGAGACTGCGCCTTAAACAGAGAAAACCGTTTTTTTACTGCTGTTGCACTCAGTGCCAATTCGAAAAGACAAGGGCGCGCCGCGGAAGCTTTGATGAGTAAGCACCAATGCCAACGAGAGCAAACGAAAATTGTCGATAACCCCCGAGACTCTACAACAGTGCGTTTTTATGATGTAGTCTTAGAGGTTGCACGATGAACTACTCCTCATGGAACAATAGTAATTTGTGTAAATGAATGTTTCCACTTCAAAAGGTGGCTCGGACCTGGTTGATTTATATATATATATATATTTTCATTTCCAGGTGTAGACGGTGTACCTGATGTTCAACACAAAGATGTTTCCCACAAGTCCTCGACAGATGAGGAGGTAGGTTTATTCTTGTGTTCAAGGTAAAGTGCAGTCGCGTACTCTAGAGCCTGCGACCCCTTTGGCCAGCGCCCCCTTCCCACGGCGCATGTGAAAATAATGGTGGACTCTAGGCGCGAGAATGGATAAAACGCTCCAAGACTCGGGGTCAAACAAGAAAGGTTTTGCCTTACAAGGAATTTAGGATTGGGCGAGAGTTCTGTCAGCATTTATCGACTATGGTGGGATTTACGAGCCGAAGATTAGTTCTTACTAACGCCAAGAACTTTCAGGAGGAACTAGGACGGAAAAGAAAGCCAAATAATTGGTTGGAGGGTCGATCAGGTCGTTCAGAGAGAAAAGTTTAAGAGCAAACACACTCTTTATTTTAGCTCTCTTTTAAGTTTAAGTCCAGACTATTTTAACTATGGACATCGCTTTACAATTCTTCTTTGCCACTGTTACCCAACGGGGAAGGGGGGGGGGGGGAGAAGGGGGCTAAGAGTAGGGGGCCTCTAGCCTCTACCCTCAGACGAAGGAAGGGCTGCCGACCCCCCTATTTTTCGGTGATGCTCGCAGCGCAGCATAGAATTAATGCAGGAAAATGTTTGTCTCGCAAAATCATTTCACCTATCGCCTTCACGGGATCGTGTATAGTGTTGATTAATTTCTTTTTGAACAACTGCTACAAATCAATCACAAACACACCGGGCGCAACGTTAAGACTGCAAATTGCAAAGAGGTTTGCTTGTGCAAACGAACTGTGCAAAGGATACTTTGGATAATTTGAGTAGGGTTTATCCACTTGACTCACCGTACAGTAAGTCCCACCCCTCCCCTCCCCTGCCCTTTCCCGCACCTTCTCTGCTCTGTATCTTTTCATTATTCGAACGAAAATCAAAGGATGACTACCAGGATAAAAACGTCTTGAAGCCAAGCAAACTAATATTCAAACATACCGCTGGTATACTGAGCCGAGTTTATTGAAGTTGGACGAGCTGTAATCCTGGTTTAATTGCTATGGCAACACCAGGATTTGCATTCAGTTATCTTGAGATTATAGTTAATCGGGTTTTGAATAATCCGTCCTGGATACTTTAGTCAGAGGAATTTCATTTCAACCATCTCCATGTCCACTTTGCCCCTTGCGAAGGACGGATGTTCGAAACTGGTCAACTTTTTCCAACTTTTTTAGGCGGATGATTTTCTTTCGTCATCTTCGAAAATTGAAAAATATGATAGAAGTGAAAAATGAGTCCTCCTTTCAGACCTGACCTACTGTATGCATCAGTTGTACGTCGTCGCTCCAGACGTCACTACTGAACACAATTTTTACGCTTGATATGTTCCACCAATATCAACAGAGCTTTACAAACAAACAGTCGGGCAGCGCCATTAAAGTACTAACAAGTCGTCATTAACATATTTATAAAGTCAATTTCGACATCATTGCACGGTGAACGTCATTAGATCGCTTGCTAGCAGTCAGAGAAGGCTTAGCAACTGAGCGATTTCTCCATGGCATAGCTTTGTAGTCTAAGAACTGGACACGTTTTGTTTTCGCATGGAAAAAGTCAAACAGCTTAGTAATAATCTTGAGGTCGTGGGCAGACACAGTTAAGTCTCTTCGAGTAACAGTCATCGGATTCAGACAAGGTAACTAATTAATCGATTCTTGGTACCTTCTCGCAAAATATGCAAGGGAAACTGTCACAAAAGACTGCAGTGCAACCATAAATTTTTCTCGTTTCGGTTATGTGAGCTCGGATAATGTCTGCACTCTCTAAATGAGTAGAATCCTAACTTAGTGAATTGTGTCAGGTATCGACCACCCGTAAATCTAATCATCTTTACTTTAAGATTTGTAAACGTCATTTGCTTTAATCTTGGGGTTTCCTGTTATTCTGAAGTCTTTGCACTGGATGGAAAGAGGCCTGTGCTGATTAGATAACACATTCTTGGAAGCCATGGTTATTTCTAACACTTGATGTTCCTTTAATTTCCCAAGAGCCATTACATCTTTTATCTATTGGAATGCATACGATGTATGCTTACTGCAATATTTCACACGTCAGTAAGTTTCTCTGTAGTTTTCTTCGAGACAACTAATTTAAACAAATTCCTGAGACTATTATCGGTGAACGGTACCATAAACCTAACCGTCTCCTAAAAAACTCTTCATAGTTGAAAGAAGAGCCTTTTATGCCTGAAACATTCCTCTTAGTAATTTAGATTCTAAAATTAGACTTTTATTGTTCGATTATAATCTTCTTTGTCAAAACAAAAGAAGCTACATTCCATCGTTCATCAGTAAGCGCATCATGTATATACTCTTGTACTACCAGCTAGGACCAACTTGTCAAATTTCCATGTATAATCGCTTGAATCAATGCAGTCAAGAAAGTCACTAATATCTTTTAATTGAATTCTACTAGCGCTGCATTTAATTTTCCTTTTCGAAATGGTTGCTTTTCCTGTGAAAACATATTGTAGACACCGATTGAACTTAAATTAGAATTGTATTATGATATTGTGAAACGTTGACTGTCTCTTCGTGTTTGCGTTCTTGTAAGAAGTAGAAAGTCGTGGGCGCAATACCTCGTCAACAGATGTTTTTGGACGCGAACGAGGGAGTTGGGTCGAATACACGAAATTAAGGTTTTCAAGTAAAATTTGGCGAAAGTAATATTAAAAGACCAATTTGCCTTTCTTAAAGGTTTTTTTTTCTGCGCAAAATCCATTTCTGTGAGGGAGTCATTAAAGGAAAGAAACGAGAAACAGAATAAGTCAAATCGCGAGGAAATCTTTGCTTTCCTGTCACAACCATTTTCCAGCGAAGTGTTCTGCAAGCCTCGATTTCATTCACTCGACCCAGTTCACGTTGAAACGTTTTCAACAGGGTTTATTAGGTGTAAAACTACACACACGTTGCAAGGATGACTTGGTCAGCAGCATTTTCCCGTGCATTAGTCTCGATGAATTTTCCCGCCATAAATCTCGATGTATTTTTTTGGTCACTCTATGGATCGTTGATATACATAGGTAACTTGTTGTGACTGGCCGTCATGGTTTACCCTGCTGATTGCTATGTCTGCTTGTGGATTTCTTTTAGGACAAATGAACCAAAACAACGCACGAAAACGCGGGAGAACTCGTATAATCGAGTATTATCAATGATGGCTTTAAATTAGGTATAGCTTGTTGAAACGAGGTTAAGAGATTTTGCACTGTTAACAGAGGCAAGCAAATGGAAATCGAAGAGTTTTGAAGTTTCCTCTTTTTTTTTTCACACTTTTTGAATACTCTTGTCAGCTCGGCCAGTTGAGGTTTTTAAACAAACCAGCCAATCTCTCAAGTAATTCAAGTTGTGATCCTTGAAATGCTTAAAATCGCAGTCAAATTCAATTCATTTCAAATGTGAGGGAAGGAGCGCGCAAAATTAAATGGCCTTCTGTTATACAGTATTACAACAAACGCACCTTCCTAACAAGAGCGCTGTCGGGTACCTTGCCTCGTGAACTGACTGTGTAAACACTTTACAGGAACAAAAGAAACGTGGATCAAAAGGATAAGATTGTCATTATCACGTTTAGCCAAGAGTCAGGAAATGGAACACCCTAAGATAACCCCTAGTTACCCCTTTCCTGTACCCCCTAGGAAACATGTGTAGCTATGAAGATACTTCTCTTAAGTTATTACTTAATAACAAGTGGAATAGTCTGGAGTTTGTGCTCATGTATAGCCATTTTGGAAAAAAAATTGACGAGCATGGCTCTATTTCACACGGCATTTTACCTTGGAAGCGTATGTAGTTGTCCCATGCTAATCTGGCGGCGTTTTAAAAAATTTCTATATCTAGACCCGCATCCAAACACAGGACTCAACCAAAACACTCAACTCACCACTGAATTTGCTGCAGCTCAGCGATAGAGTATCCGAGCGCGAATCTTAAGGAAAAGAGTTTGATTCCATGTAGAGGACTCGTTCATGGCCAAACATTAACATCTTTTTGTATTTGGCTGATAAAACTCAAGTAATTGCTGATTGTAATTTGTTCTACAAGCGGTGTATCGAGACGCTGTCTCAGATGGAGGTTAATTGCCCTTGCTTTAAAGTGTCATTTAGCGCTCTGAGCAGAGCTGAGTCACAGATTCACTCATCTAATACTGCCACACCCACGGTTCATATAGCTTAACCTCGTCATTTACGAGCCGTTTTTGAATTGTGGTCCAAAAAGTCAAAACAAAACCAGCCACACCTGGCCTTACGACTATGCGGTGTTTATAAGTTACGTTCAGCTCGGTGTACATGTTGTATCGGAATTCCTTTGTTTTTCGACGTCGCGGCAGATGGCTTTGTTTGCGACAAACATTTGGTCATTTTGACGTGCTCTAAGTGGTCTACTAACCGTTTAAAGGACTAAAGCATTAATGCTTCTGATGTCATGTTTGTGACTTTTGCGCTTTGATTTGTTTTCACAATATTTGCCTTGAGGTGCAATTCGATCAAAGTGGCAATGTGCTTTTGCACGCCTCAGTAGGTTTGAAAAGTTAGTTTTTTTTATGGTTTAACCTTCTCCGAGACAATTTCTGTGTAACACAATCGGGATTAAAAACATTCCTTTAGAAGTGATCTCAATGAGAAAGCTCTGAATTCCTTTTCCAGCAGTTGGTCGTAGCCAAGTAACCTGTACTCTTAAATTTCTATAGAAACTGCGCTGCGGCGATGACGATACAAACAGACGCCGTTCAGGATGTAACCACTCGAATCGGTTTCAACTGAAACAAGTCAAACCAAAGGCTTACCAAACAGCTTAACGCACCACGCAATGGTTCTGTAATTGTCAGCTGTACAACAGTATTGTAAAGACTCTCCTTCCACAGGTGTTCGTGTAGCTAACTTTGCATAACAAGCACACCCTACTTGATGGCACGCTTAGATCCTTTGTTCTAGAACAGCTGTGGCACGTGGTCGCAAGGCGGTCGAATTCCGCCGCTGTTTTGTTTGACTTTGTTAACGAGCTCGTGTCGTTTTACATATATTTGCCCCCGAAAATCCCAAAGAGGATCGAATGTTCTTGCTCTGATTATCAAAGATAACGTTTTCTCACTTACTGCATCTAAACAGATTTGTTGGTGACGAAGCGAATATATTGTCGCGGAGAAGTATGTAACATACACGTGCCGTCCCTATTATATTTTAAGCGTCCTTACGCAACCAATTGATCCGTTTGATAAGTGAGAATTTTGTTTTCCTCTGAAATATTTTTCTCTATCTCAAACATTTTAGCCGCTTTTTGTAAGTGTTTTGACTTTTCTTTAATACTTTATATACCTTACTGGCGTCTGACCTGTCGAACACCGAGGCGCGAGATAACTTTGCGTGTCTTGAGGCATATTGGCTATTCATACAACCATTGTTTTAAAAGCCATGTGTGCGCTTTTGTTTGGACTAATACAAGAACTAATGGAAAAAGTATTAGTATTGATGGCGTCTTTTAATATGCAAATTCAAACAACTTTTAATGAACTCGAAATGTTAATTTCTTCACTCAATACCACGCTACTTGAGAAGTGATTTTGTTTCGTAGCTCGTTATTGCAAAATCGACCCAAGATATTTGCTTTTGTTGTCATGGGAAAATATCGTTTCGTAAGACAACTCACGAGTTTCTCTTTTGAAATTTCCAATAAAATTGCATCTTAAATGCCTCGGATGTTAATGTTATCGCTGCGCCGTTAAGACGCGCCAGTCCTATCTATTTCGCACGCGTTCTTTAAAGCACTTGCTCTTGATCTTTATACAAAGGACACCGGAAAGTTGTCTCCGTTAGTTTTGTTTCAGGTCATATCTGATGGATATAATGAAAACAGTTTCCGTGCTCTCGTTACGCATTAGTTGAATGCCTCCGGCGATATTAGAAGCTAAATACGATATATTTTTTCCCAAAGCAATTAATTCAACACATCTCTCTTTTTTGTCACGGTGTTACGCACGAGCCAAGGCAACCATTTCCGCCTTTTCACATTGAGTAAGGGCGAAGGTGCCAGGCCGGCGAACGTGATCAAGGTGACAAACTGAAGTCCAAAAGCATAATCTTATGAAGAGGGCCGCTAGTTAAGGATATTAAATTTTTTTTCCTAACTGATATAGGATCAGGTAAATTCATGGATCGGAAAAAGGGGTTTTCAGTGGTAATTTCAATGCTCTCGTACACGTCGATAACTGGATTTCTGAAAAGTTCGCACCACACACTTAATCGAAGAGGAAAGTGTCTTCAGCTTCGTTTGATACCTCTTTAGTTTCTCCAGGATGATTCACGTTGCTGCCATGCCATAGGTCATCACAAATTAAATTGTCTTGAACTAGAGTTAATCTCAATGTTTTTCGTCACTCCTGTCGCTTATCAGACAATTGATCAACTCTGCAGCTTTTCTGTGGCTAGATGTGATAATTATTGGCCAAACCGCAGAAAAATTTTATCACGTTGCCTCTCCATAAGTCGGTATTTGTACTTGTAATTAACTTTGCACGTACTTGAGGCCAGAGCGAACCACAAATTGTCGCTGTATCGTGCGTCAATGTTTGTAGACCTTTTTGAGGAAGAAACTTCTCACGTAACAACTCCGCACTGTCACAGCGCCAAACCGAGCCAATTCTCCTCATTTCGAAGCTTTCCCGTGCTAAGAAATAATCACCAACTGTTCGACGTGACGAGAATACGACTTAAAAACCTTCCTGACGTTCCTCTGTGCTGGTTTCCAGGCGTCAGTGCTGAACCAAGAGCATCTCTAAAGAGGTTATAATTAGAAGCAATTAAATCCATATTCTCTTACTGACACGCGCCGTACTCATTAATCGCTATTCAGGATGAGGCATCAATTCGTGTTACGAAATCCACTCGTTTTTTGCGCAGCACTGTCCTGTCACCGAGTGACAGAGTTCTGGTGTGGTTGTTATCTAAAAGAGGCTCTTGGACTGTATATCTGGCATCTAACGTGCTTTATCCCTATTGATGCTCTTGTAAATCGGACAGGTTGTGACCAATTCTTCTCTGTAGGTGGTCTCAGGGGTTAAAAGTCCCAAAAACTGAGAGCAAAGTCTGTGCTTTTATTTTCTTTGTGATTATGCACTGATCAGCTTGCCTTGTTGAACCCAGGTGCAGCATTGTGTGTTGTCCGCAAGGGACTTTGCTTGGCGTCTATCACCCATAAAACAAGCGAGACGCGTCCCTATTCTTCTCCAGTCTTTGGTGGCACGCGCCGTATGTATTGTGTACTCAGTGTTTCCTATTACCATTTGTTAAATGCAAACCACACTATTTAGTTTAGCCTTTTCCTGTAAACATTTAAAATCCTTTTCGCGGCATTCTAATATGCCGCTTTTTGCTTTAATGTAAAAGCATAATAAAATCTCAGACAATGATTATTTTCGGCGCAGATATTACGGAATTGTCTGATTTCTGCAGGTGAATTTATAGATATTCAAATCCTGTGCGGCCTTTTGCCTTTTTGCCTTCTCTGCGCCGTGATCGTAAATAGCTTTAATAGTTTCGTTTATTAAATGTGTTTGAGGTAAAAATCTTCTCCGGCTTTGGCGTAGTGAATTTTCCGCTAACATGGATTATCCCTAAGCTTGATGTGCAGATGAATTAACGCGATAAAATTAAAGATATTTCCGAGCCTGCTGTAAGGGAGTTAGCGAAGACCAACTGGAAGAAACGTGATATGCCTTATCAAGGTCATTTCAAGAGTGGTGTTAAAAGATTCCAAGGAGTTAGGAATAAATTTCTTGTGGAAAATGTTTACAGTTCTCTTCTGTTTAGCCAATCCACGCCAATTTTAGAGGACATAAGTGTACCCGTGGGTATCATGTTGCGTCACTAATTAATCTACGCATGCTCATTAACATTACCGCGCCTTCAACAACACCACATCTGTTTTCACATCACACAGAATCTTATGATTTGCAAGTGAGCTGAGCTCGCATCGCATCGACAGGGCGGCCTTTCATGTCGCACGCAGAAGAACACCAAATTTCGGCCGCAATTCCCAAGGCTACACTAAATTCTACATAGTGATTTAAGCGATGGCCGTCGGCCTGCTTCTTAAAAGTGTATTTTTCGAACTGCTACTTCAATTCATTCATGTGCAGGTAGACCTTGTGCTAGCTAAGTGGTGAATTCTCGTGTTTTGGTCAGGTGTAATGCTCACGTCTGGAAAATTTTTTGCGAGTCTGACTTATAAACGAATTTTTACTCGTGTTCCTTTTTCGCAGATTGTCACCGGAGCGGGCACATTCGAAATCCACTTGGTTTCGATACAAAATATTAGAGGTGAGAAATACGATGGTAGCTGCTGTGATGGGAGTCGCACAATATATCGAGGACAACATCAATGCCTGGACGAGTGCGACACATTCTTCAGAGTTTGTCTCAAGCAATACTCGCAATCTGTTTCGCCAACGGGTGCTTGTACATTTGGCGAGCACACAACTGCTGTATTAGGAGGGAGTTCGATCACATTTACGAACACTACATCGCCGAGTGGTTTTCGCAACCCGATTTCTTTACGCTTCGAGTTTTCATGGCTGGTAAGTCATTGTAAATCCTGTTCAATGTTATCTTAGAATACCATGGGTTTTGGTGTCACTTTGTTTGACGATTTCCGTTATTTTTTTTAAATCTGAAGAAAATTCAGCGTAATAATGTGGATTAAATTTATGCGACGTTCACGCAGATGGGATATGTTTTTCAATAATAAAAATTTAATGTAACCGCGTCTAACAGCCGCTTTTAGCCAAAAAAGAGAGAGTGTTGTAAGGAAATTATTTGGAAATTTTTTTTAAAGAGATTTTTATTGGAGCTGTATTAATCGTAAATGCGACCGCTGGGAGCACGCTCCCACGAACAATCATTTCACTTGGAAGTTTGCATTTCAAAAAATCAATTCTCTCATTGGCTCTCGGAAGCCTCTCAGAGAAGCACGTTCATTTTACAGAATCGACAACTTCGTCTCAGCGAAAAATCGAAGAAATAAATACAGCTGCAATTATTTAAACAGGCCGCGCTGGTCAAAACCTGTTTCAGACTTATTTTCTCTGAGAGCATCGCATTAGAGATTTTGAAGGTTGTTTATCCTAGATTGTAGCGTAGTTTCTGGGCCACGTGTCTTCAGTTTGACAGCCTTTTGTGAGAATTATGTTAATTATGGGAGTTACGTTGTATTTGCAACACAATGATAGCTACTGACTGGAAAAATCAAAGAATCAGCGTCGAAGCCGCATGGCCGAGGCGCGAATTATTCGTTGAGTGTTTAGCTTCACCTGCAATAGAAACGAAGTGTTGTGGGCTTCCGACTTGTCAATTTCATAGATGTATATTTCAAGATATTAACGCATGCGAAATTGTTTATTTTCAACTTTCCCACGTTCACCGGGCCCTAAATAAATAATTCTTGATTCGTTACTTCGTACCTACTGGAAGTATTACAATGCAATTAAACTTTCAATTGATAGCATGCTCTAGAGAAATGACTGGTTGCCAATGGAGTTGATCTTTATTCTGTCTCCTTCAGCATTGTTTGATTTCGATTCGTGGGTTTCATGATCGACGCAAGAGCCTTTTATTAACTCGGGTAGATCGCGGTGGTTTGTTGATTTCATTAAACCATTTTTTCATCTTTTCTCTTCATTGAATAGAAGTGACACATGTGCCGAATTATGTTTTAGAAGAATACAATTCCCAGTTGACGGACTTGATGAAAATATATTTACTTCATTTCTCGTTGCGCGGGAGCGCTTTAGATTACCTTTTACAAGGAATTCCTAAGGGCTTTTGATTTTACAAAATTTGCTAGTTTGCTGTGACTGTGAAAATTGTTTGGGTCATCTAGTGTTTTTTTATTAGTTTTCTTTATATTATCTGCATGGTGTCCGATTGTGATCAAAGAATACATATCAAATTCCACTCAAAATAGATTAATCCTTTACTTATGAGACCTTGTGTTCTTTGTGGTTTTTGTCCACTGCCTGTGGCATCTTAATGCTTGTGATTATATGGTATCCATGAGGTCAGAGCATTGGAGAAAAAAGTTATCTTTTACAGTGGTACATGTCAAAATAATCTAAAATTTTGTCCATGGAATGTTTTGTAATTTCCCTTCAGCTTTATGTAAAGCATCAGAAATTGCTGTGAGATGTTTGGAATTTTGCTGTCTGCTCTTTGAATTTTGAATTAATTTCAGTTTTATTTGCTTTACTGTTTAGCATATGACTATTTGCTACAACTAAAAGCTTAGATAGGTTTTTCCAGAACCTGTAACTTTACATCATTTCATTACAAAGCTTGCAAAGTGAGTTTTATATAATTTCAGATATTTGCTGTGTCTTTTTAAGGGGACTTAATAAAGAGTTATACCTTAAAATTTATGTGCCACTAATTAATTGTTTTGAGTCAGTCAAAAACATCCTTAGCTTATTCCTGATAACACGTAAGAAGTCAAATCATTAGTCTGCCTTAAAAGCCAAAAATGTTAAGTCCAATATAATTTTATTGTTTCTTAAAGATGTGTGTAAATTTTCTTTTTTTGATCTTTGTGCTATCAACAATGTTGGAAATATAGATGTGTTAGATTGAAACACAAGACTTAATGTGAAGCATGAATTGCAAATAAGCCAAAATACATTATGGTTTCCTCCTTTTACCAGACTGAGATAAAATTTTGCAGTGCCTAATAACTATTTCCCAAACAATTCTTTGCCCGACACAGGTTTTTTCATTATCGTTCTCAGTCTCTTAAAATAGGTTTATAGAATAGAAAAAACGGATCAGTCTTATTGATTCTGCAAGTTTTGTGTTAGTTTTATTGAAAGAATAGTTTCTCTCTTCTTAGGTAAACAATTTGGGAAGAAACAGAATCAATCATATTTCTTATTTGCACTGTAGAAATTTATTCAGCTGTCAAAAGTAGCTTGGTCCATTTGTAACAAAAGAGGACTTGTGTTTGGAAGTACATGTCAGTGTTGTATTACCAGTACTTCTACAAGGCATGCTCTTTATTGGAACATGGCTGCTAGCAGTGTGAACCTGATGATCTTAAGCCTGTGTTCGTTTCAGATGCATAAGAAATGAGAGAAGATTGCAAATTAACTTTCGAACTTAACCCCCCTTTGTAAACATTTTTAGTAAGATCCATGGGTTGCTTTTGTGACCATAAATTCTCATGTAAGCAATGTTTGAATTTACAGGTGCTATTTTCTCCCCATTTTTTCCAAATTTAATTAAGACCATAGCAGGAATAGTATCATATTATGATCTTTCCTATGCTTACTTTGGAGGAAATTTGTCTTGTGTAACAGTTTAGCTTGAAACTAGTTCATTGATGGATCCAGTCAGAGTTTCAAAAATTTTCTTGGAACTTCTCACTAGGCTAGTGTTTCAAAGGTTTTAATCATTTATTATGAAACTCTTGCTGGAAGCTAGCATTCCCTTAGAATTCCTAGCCAAATTTCTAAAATGTGTGCATATAACTTTGCGTTCTTTGTTTTGGTATGGAGCTTTGCTCTTGAATATCTTCATTTTGAAATTGAATGAAGTGAGTTTTGGAATTGTAGAATCGCTCTGTCACAAAAAAAAATAAAATAAATACTCTATTTAATGATGAACTTTTTCACCAAAAAAAGCTTGTTATAGAAAATATTGTGATTTATAACTGTTTCTCTTATCAAGGAATCTCTGAATTCATATTTGCCATAGTATTTCTTGTGTTGCATTTGAGTCTCAGTCATCTTTCTAAAAATCTTTTAACTTCAAATCTTTTGTTTGTGATAATAAGTTGAATAATAAATGACACATTAGTAAATACTAAATTTTTAATCAACAGAGTAGTATAAAAATTGTTACAACTCACAGAATCTGTGACATCTTTTTTTTTCATGGAGGGGATTCAAAAGAGTGGAATTTTTAAATAAAGCAAAAAAAAAATAGAATTTGTATGGAGCAATGTTAGGTTGAGAGTAAACAACTTTAGCTAAATTTTACATACACGTATTAAATGTTATTGTCATCAAGGGTTTTAAACTTGACTTTTTAGCCAAGTTCATAACTCTCATATTTTAAGTTATCAGGAAATCTATGTGCAACTCATTTGTTTGTGTTTATTTGTAAGAACCACAACCTAAGGTGAACATGTTTTTTCACATGTTTTATATGATGGCCTCTGCTCTATATATTTTATTGAAAAATTCCTTTTTTCATAACACTTTTTTGTCTTTAATGTCCATTATGCTCTGAATGTATGACAGTGTTTGTGCTAACAAAGCTGGGAAAATGCTGATTGAAAGGTTGCCTAATATTTTCAAAGCAGCTGTTGGAAGGAATTTCAAATATTTTGAAATGAGTTTCTGAAAATCCTCTGATTTATCTCTTATATGAAAAAGAAAAATTTCAAGTTTTATTATGAATTTGTAATCATTGTTCCTTTCACATCTTTTTTTATGCCAAGAGCATTGAGTTTCTTGATTATCTGTAATTTTTCCTCATAATGTGAGTCACGTTTTAATTTCTGAATGCTTAGTGCTGGGAAACAGCATCTATTGTGCTTGATTTATTGTCATCACCTAACAGAAAACTTATGTGTGTCATGCAAGTGCTAAACTGGTCATATGCTGTTTTCTCTCATTTCAGACCACATACTACCTAATTCTGGAAGCATGGGATGCAGATAACTCAAGTAAGGTTCATCTCTACCTGAATGGTGCAAAGCATACAAGACTTTTTCTTGCATGACTGAAGCCTTTCATTCTTTTTAATAAATGCATTGTCCTAATGGATATCTTCATTCAATATTGTTACCATACATGAAGTTGTTATGGAAATATGCAGAAGATTGTTTTCAATCCATATCTTGGCAAGTTCTGTCTCTCAACAAAAATTAAATGAGTTATGTTATTTTAATGTGCAATCTCTCTTTTAATCCTCCTGTGGAATAAATGGAGTTTTTGTCTGTATCTTCCATGAATTGCCAATATGGCACAACTTCAAATCTATCTGTTTTCATGAATATTGAAGGAAGCAGCAAACTCAGCTCTCCAGTTGAATGTAGTTAGAATATACTAAAAATTCACTAATACTTGGGGAGGTATTGAATGACTTTCATGTATTCTTTGTTGAATTTTTCTCAAATTTGCCTTGGGGTGAACTAAAACTATTGGGGCTTTTGCTTAACTTTAATCAACAAACTGCCTCTTTTTCCCCTATTAGGCAACCGTGAACTCATAGATAGAGCAACCCAGCGAGGTACACTACTTCCAAACAAGACATGGGTAATTCATGCATACAATGGCCCTGCAGCAACAATTAGTTACAGATTAAGGGTGGTATGCGACAAATATTACTATGGGAAGACTTGTACTGAGTTGTGCAAACCACGAAATGACACATTTGGACATTATTCTTGCAATGAGAATGGGAAAAAAGTTTGTTTGCCTGGATGGAGAGGGCATTTGTGCGATACAGGTAAGTATCAACGCGCTTAAAACTGATCAGTTTCTTTACAATTATGCCATTAAAAAGCTTTAAAGTACAGGTAAACATAACATATTGTGTTTTTTTTCTTCTCTAGCAATCTGTAAAACAGGCTGTGATCCCGTGCATGGTACTTGTAGTGTTCCAGGCGAATGCAAGTAAGTGGTGACATTTTGGGGTTAATTTTTTTTTTCTTAATAAGAATAAGTCTTATTTGGTGACATGGTCATGTTACTTATCAACTGTGTTAAGTGTTCATTGCAATTCAATGTTAATTTTTTTGAAATGGGTTGTGTTTGTTTCAGCTGTAATTCAGGCTGGAAAGGGGAACTTTGCGACGAATGTCGGCCCTACCCAGGCTGTTCTCATGGAACTTGCAGTCAGCCATGGCAGTGCAACTGTCAGCAGCAATGGGGTGGAATTCTTTGTGATGAAGGTAAAAGAAGCTTGTGTTCAATAGGGTTGTGTTTCATTCTTAAATCTCGTCTATCTGCCTTTGTATTGTTGTAGCTTCACAGATTTCTGGTCTGATGGTGCTTAATTTTTTTACAGATCTGAACAAATGCAGAGAAAAACCTTGTAAGAATGGAGGTATATGTTATAACACAGAAGCCAATCAGTACAGATGTGAATGTCAAGCTGGATTTACTGGGGTCAACTGCGAGACAGCAATCGACTTTTGTGGATCATCTCCTTGCAAGAATAATGGAACTTGTCATAATGATGCGAGTGATTTCCGCTGTAACTGTCCACTTGGTTGGGCTGGGCCCACTTGTGAAATAAGTAAGCTTAACTTTGCAAAGTTGGGTGTCTCAGTATTTGTTAAAATGAAATTACGTTTTTGTACAGGAATAATTCTTAAATTGTTGAATGTGTTTTTTAGGTAGGGACTGTCAAAGTCAACCTTGTCAGAATAATGGAACATGCATTAACAATGGCCAGGGTTACCAGTGTAAATGTTTACCAGGCTGGACAGGACACATGTGTGGTCAAGGTTAGTTGTTCTCCTTTTTGAACTGTTATTTTTATTTTTTCTTCCTAATGGTCCAACAAACATTAAGGAAGAGCAAGCATATAATTGATATTAGATTAGGAAGGACTTTGACATGACCATGACCGCTCTTTCATTATTTTGTCCCTTCTCAATGTCCCATCATCTCTTCTTGCCCCTCCCTAAGGGAAATACAGACTGCTTGCGAAATTTTGGTTCCTGAACTTATTCAACAAACTAAAGAACACAGAGTTTTGTAAATTTGATCACAGGATTGTAAAACTGCCTTAATTCAATAAATTTATTATCTTATCTAATTTCAACAGACATTGATGAATGTACAGCCAAACCATGCTCCAATGCTCTGAAGTGTGTTAACTTGGTAAATGACTATGCTTGTGAATGCAAGGAAGGATGGAAGGGTAGAAACTGCAATGAGAGTGAGTATTGTTCTTGTCTTTCCATTGCACATCTGTGCAAATGTATGGCATAGTAGCATAGTATCTGCAATGCAACTAGCAACAGGAATGAATTTCATGTGGCTTGGGTATTTTCTTTTACCAGGTATCAACGATTGTGTAGGACAGTGTAGAAATGGTGGAACATGCGTGGACTTGTTGAATGATTACAGGTGTAACTGTCCCGTTGGATTTACTGGCAAGGATTGCGAGACCAATATCGATGACTGCCAGTCTATCCCATGTACTAATAGTGGAGTGTGTAAAGATGGCATTCAGAACTACAGTTGCATTTGCCAAACTGGATTTTCAGGAAAAAATTGTCAAGTTGCAGTAAATGAATGCCAGCCTTCACCTTGCGTCCATGGAACATGCACGGACTTACTTAATGACTACAAGTGTTCTTGTAGTGCAGGGTATACTGGCAGAAATTGTTCAATGTTGGCAACAACACCTAATAGTTGCGACCCATACCCTTGTCAGCACGGAGCCACATGCGTTAAAAACGCTGATGGCTCTGATATCTGTCATTGTCCTCCAGGCTACACTGGCTCATATTGTGAAACTGACATCAATGAGTGCTTGACAGCGACGTGTCATAACGGTGGTACATGTGTGGATGCAGCCAATGGATTTAAATGTGTCTGCCCAACTGGTTTTTCAGGATCAACTTGCCAAGTTGACTTAGACTCGTGCATTAGCTCGCCTTGTCATGGCTCTGCAACATGTGTTGATAAAACAGATGGCTATCAATGTATATGTGCTGCGGGATACACTGGAGTAAACTGTGATCACAATGTGAATGATTGTGGTACATTGAGTCCTTGTCGCAATGGTGGAACTTGTCTGGACAGACTCAACGGCTACCAGTGTCAATGCAGGTGAGATATGAAATCAGTTACATCAATTTTGTTTTCTTTTGGCAGTTTTTAATTGCCAGAATTCACTCGCATTAGTAAGAACTGAGACGTTAAAAGAAAGATTTAAAAGAGTATCAAATATATAGAAGGCTAGTTTACAATGTTATAAAAATGCATTATCTCTGGTAGTACCGAAATTGGTATTTGACGTGTGATAAAATATCAACCTAACGACAACTCTATGGACAAGCTTACAACATGCTCTTTGTAGTCTCTAGCTAAGTTTGTACACTGTATATAGTTTGGGTGCAAAATCAGAACTGCCAAGAGTGCGAACCCTTCTGTGGAAACTCAGATGTTTTTTAGCGTGCATGCACTTGTGTTGAACATCTGCCCACATGTTTTGTTGTTGCGATTGTTATTGCAGGCCAGAGTTTACTGGAGCTGAATGTGATGTCCCCATCAACAAATGCACCAACGAATCTTGTGTTAACAATGGCACATGCAGCCAAGGTGTTGGAATGATCACTTGTAGTTGCCCCACTGGCTTTACTGGACAGAGATGTGAAACTGAGATTGATGCCTGTGACTCCAATCCGTGTCACAATGGCGCGACATGTCAAAAGATTGGTGTTAGTTATGCCTGTTCATGTGCAGTTGGTTTCTCTGGGCCTAACTGCGCAACGCGAATCGATTACTGTGCTAATGTCACTTGTACCAATGGTGGTACATGCAACAATATTGCAGGGAAAGCTTCTTGTAGCTGTTTGCCTGGGTTTGCGGGATTACGATGTGAAATCAATATCGACGAGTGTCGTTCTAGTCCATGTCGCAATGGAGGTAGCTGCGTAGACAAGGACAACAGTTTTCATTGTGTATGTCCAGCAGGAACTCGGGGAGACGTTTGCGATCAAGGTAAATTCGTAAAAATTATCACCATGTTCTATGCTGTGTTGATGTCTGAATAGCAAGTCAGCTTGTTGGTCTCTATCGATGCATCCATGAAGTTTCCCAACGTCAAAAACCCATTTTCTTTACTACAAAATTTCGATATATGAATTCTATATCTTACTCATGTCATTTCTGTTTAATTTTTATTAGTGATCGATCCATGCTTGGAGCCTGTTTTAGTGAATGGATCCTCATTTTTGAGAGATTCCGGCGTATGTGGAGCTTATGGAACCTGTGAAAATGTCGGTGTGGGAAAATTTAGATGCAAATGTGACAAAGAGCATACTGGAAACCACTGTCACTTAAGTAAGTGCGTGTGTAAGGAGATGTATGTTAAGGTCGTATGTAGGCGATCACATCTATTTCTTTGTTCTGATGTGAAAATTGATTCTGATGTAAAGATGATTTCCCTCGTTAGAAATTGACCATTGCAAGAACCACACTTGTAAAAATGGAGCAAGTTGTCTCGATGGCGATGGAAATTATACATGTGTATGTGGCGATGGCTGGGAGGGCGTCTACTGTGAAAAAGGTATTCAAGTGTTTTGTTCTTTAATTTATTGTGTTTACTACTCCATTTATTTTTCTGAAGAGAATCAATTGGACTTCAGGGAAAATCATCTGAAAGAGAATCAGCTTTTTTCATTGAATCAAGGCCCCAGAAATCGTACGACGCATATTTTGTTACTGTTTTGAACACTGCCGTACTACACTGCTCCTTTTTTGAGAGAATATGATTCAGTCGCCTCATTAAGTCGTTGTAAAATGTTTACGCTATGATTTCCTACTCCTCGTCTTCTGGGAAGCGTTATTTATGTACCAATTTTTTTTATTTGCAATATCTTACGCTTGTATCTTGTTCACTCTTTCTTTAACAGATATTAATGAGTGTAACTCGAATCCTTGTCGAAATGGCGGGAACTGTACTGACTTAGTCAACGGATATGTTTGCAAATGTCCCCACCCGTGGAAAGGACAAATGTGTCAATCAAGTAAGAACGTGTGACGTTTTGCATGATAAATAAGATCCGGAATTTGAGAATTTCAATTTTTGTTTGTAATTGCTTACACTGGATGTTAATTTTGTTTGAGTGTAATTTAAAATTTCTTTAAAAAATGTCAACAGCAACATCGCACTGTGATGGCAATCCTTGTCAAAATGGAGGGTTATGCACCGATACAGGAGACGATTTTCAATGCGGTTGTCAAAACGGATTTTCAGGAAGGATCTGTCAATTAGGTAAGACGTTCTACAAGATTTATCATCGTTTTTTATTTTATCGACGTTCTTTGTTTTCTTTGTTTCATTATTTCATTGACATGATTTTTTTTAAAACTGGTGGTGTATTGAGACTTGTTTTTCAACCACCCGTGGAAAAATGATCGATAACATTGTGATGAATGAGTTTGGACAGCACAGCTCACAACTCCCTTTTTCGTTGTTTCAAAGAACCCTATTGTTTTGCTAATGAACACCTGTTGTTCTGTTCATTCGTTTTGTGGCTTTATTGTCGTATCACACAAATCAAACGCGGCAACATGTGCGCTTCAATTGGTCTCCCCACATCGCGATCTCTTTTATAAACCTTCTGTTGCATCTACTCTTGAGTGTTCTTTCAAAGCGTGATCTTTTGATTAAAATAAAGGGCGCGTTCCCCAGAACGTGCGCAGCATTTGGAGTATTCTAAACGGATGGAACCGCAAATGCGTGTAATTGAATTTACAATGGCTAATGATACGCCTTTGCATTGAGATCATGTTAAGATCTAAATGACGATGTCTGCACATTTTCATTAAGTTCTTGATGTGCCTATTGTTTGTGCCCGATGTTTTCTGTTACTGACGCAAGTGGAAGCGTGTTTGATGCCATCTCCGGTCCAATTTCATCACAGCGTTTTAAGCTCAATCTTTCAAATTAAAATCACAGCTAAGATGGTAATCTGCAAATTACACTTGACAAAAATTTTACCATCAAGGTAGCCATGGATTGGGCGACATACATTCTGTTATTTAGATAAGAAAGTGATTATGGCCTAAATACATAGAGTGCCCATTTTTTTTTTGCGTCATAGCTTTAGCTTATAATATTATGTACGGAAACATTTTAGGCACAGCCTGTCGGCCGTTTTTCTTATATTGTTTACTGTTTCGGTTCGGAAATGTTAAAAGCTTTTTGAAGTTGAAAAAAAAGTTCAATTAAAATTGCCTTTTAGATAGAGTATTTTTTAAAAGTGGCAGCACACGTGCGTGATAGTTTGTGTTGTATTGTTTTCCTTTTTGTCTAGCACCCAAGCCCTGCTCGTCCGAACCTTGTCAGAATGGTGCAACTTGTTTGAATGCAGGCGATGGAGAGAGTTTTTCGTGTGTCTGCAAAGATGCATGGGAAGGAAACCTGTGTGAGAAGAGTAAGTAGAGCATTGCGCATTTGTGCAATAAAATTCTGCGTTCTCTCTTGCTCTCTTCTTGTGTTGGAAGTGCACAACTTCCCAACGTTAAGCCTTAGCGCTTGAACATCGGTATCTATATTCTCTATACTGTTTTACAAACATTTTCTATGTTGCTGACGTGGAGAATTTGCTCACCTATTTAGAACTTACTTAGTTGGCGAACATTTCCTTTATTCTCATGACCGTAATGGTTAATTCAGGGGTGATATTGTACGGAGAATTGAGATGCTAGTAACTCTTGAAAAGAAGTTGCATTTATAAATCTCTCTACACGCACATATAAACCTGTTTCCCACGCACCCCTGGTAAGCTCAAGGAATGTTATGTTTATATTGGAGGTGCCGAGTTGAATTAATTTTTCATGGCCTTTGTTCTACTTTTAGATGTCGATGACTGTGCATCCAATCCTTGCCACAATGAAGGCACGTGCATCGATGGTGAGGGTTGGGTCCTCTGCTCATGCGCGCCCGGATTTACGGGACCAGATTGTAAAATCAACATCAACGAATGTAACTCGTCTCCGTGCAGTGGTGGTGCAACTTGTAAAGATAAAATCAACGGCTTTGAATGTATCTGCCCGCCAGGAAAGTTTGGAGATCGTTGCCAAGGTAAGAGTTTGAACAACTTGATAGTTGATAGCATGGATGGCCTCATTTGCATGACGTATTGCTTAAGTGAACTTCACTTTCATTTCGTTGTTCCTTAAATAATTTGTTCGAAATTTATTCTATCAGATGACGAACATGATAAGAAACACTGTAAGCTGAAAGACGGCGGTATTCAGCGTCACAACACCACCGTGCCAAAAGACTGTAACTCGTGTAAGTGCCTGTATGGCTTGCTGCACTGCACTGGAATTGACTGTGGTGTTCCAAATTGCTTGAATCGTACCCAGGCTGGCAGCTGCCCCACTGGCGCGAAATGCGTGCCTAAGGTGGCGGCGGAGTGCCTCAGCCCTCCTTGTGGTCGATGGGGAGAATGTCAAGGTGGATCAACTGCCAAGATTATTACCGGAATAAATGAAGGCGCGTGCCTTCCCAATAGTACCTATTTGAATGGGGACTGTGCCAAGATTCACATTGTGTTCCAAGTGGATAAGCTTCCCAAGGTCAGTTGAGCAAGGTTTAGTTATATTTGATACGGAAGGGTATGATGCGGGCTTATTGTTTGAGTTCAAGCCTCGGGAGGGTTAAATAGTTCAGTGTAGTACACGGTAGCCTCTATCGCAGCTGTCGTTTGGTCTCGTTGGAGGGAGAGCGCGTTGCGTGACGAGACCAAACAACGGTTGTGAAGGAGACTTGCTGCAAAGAAGATCCATGCAAACAACACGGGAATAAGTCCCTGAAGTTATAGGCGATGGATTTTCCATCACGATATCTAAGCTCATTCTAAATGTGTTGGATTCTCTTTCAACAGGGAACCCTTGTGGAAGAACTTTGCCATCAGTTGCGTTATCTACCAATGTTGAAAAAATGGGCAGAGAAGGCAAGACTTCGACTGCTCTGTGAAGGCCGAGGGAAAGACGGATCAACATCAACTGTCATTGTATCAGTGGTAAGTGTAACTGTTGTTATCGAAGGATTTTATGAGTTCTCTTTAAGTTTTGTATGTTTTTCTCATCAGTTTTTTTTAGGCACGCTGGTCAGGCGCAAACGTTTTATCTTCCTTTTTTTTAGCCAGAAACAGCAGTGCTTAGATATTGTTACTGTCTCTTGTAGGCCAGCACTCCGCGAACGGAAGTAGCTGAAAAGGCGGCCATTGATATCGCCCGATACATACGGTCCGTGCCATCTGAAAAAGGCCGTGAAATAAATATCACTCTTTACAACGTGCTTATAGCTGTGGATGAAGTCACTGTGGAAAGATCTGTTTCTCTTTCCTACCACGAAGAGGAAGGTGAGAGATGTAAGAGTGAAGGAAATTCCAGGATAGGACATGACCGGCTTAAAGCGAAGTAAAACGAAACCCAAAGTATAGTCACACGGCCAATCAGAGCAATGGATGATGTTATAAGTAGGCTATGAAAACATGTAAAAAATCACGTGCGCGGCAAAACAGGCGTAATCGAGTGGGTATTGGCTCTAGTTTTTCGTCTGATTGGTTGAGAATGTGGCGCGAAGTTTTAAGACCAATAACTAAACATAGTAAGGGATAACCGACGTAATTCTAGTTTAATTTTGAAACTCAAGTTCACGTTTTGAAGAAAATTAGTTGAACAACAGCCAACTTACGAGGTCTAACTCCGTTTGTTATTCTCTTAACAGCCGCACCGGACTACCTCATTCCTTTGATTGCATCACTCGTGGTGTTGGCGGCCATTCTTTTGCTAATACTGTGCATCAGAGGAAAGTGGAGGGAAAGTAGACGAGCGAAAAGAGAAAATCGTTTAGCTGCAAGGCCTACTTTGAAAAAGAAACGAAATACAACGCAGGAGAAGCCATTGACTACTGCTAGAACTTACTATAATCAGACTTCCACCGAGTCTACGGCGTCTTCGTCGTCGACATCCACGTCGACGCGTTCAACGGAGTTAAGAAACTTTGAATACAATCGGGCGAGTTTGCTCGACTCCACGCCCTCTGTGTGTTCTACTCCACAAGTTTTGTCCCCGCCCCTCTCCCCCAAGGAGGAAGGCGCAAAAGACGAATGGAGGAGATTTCGGGTGCAAAGGAACAGTACACAAATAGAAATAATCGTATAAGTAATTATTAGTGATTATTATATATCCTTCCATGAATAATTTAAAGAAAGGAAAGAAACAATTCACACTGTTATTAATTTATTGTACCCACGAAAAAAAAAAGTGTAGCTTTTGAAAGCAATTTTATAACTCCAACAGTTAAAATTCGGCGGCTAGAAAATTTATTTATCAAAAGACAAATGTTTTTAGGCATCAGTAAATATCTGGTGATGGTTCTGTTGAAAGGCCGACTTGTAAATAATACAACAAGAAAAAAGAAGTATTTAAATGGTTTTTAACGCTGTAAATATGTAAACAATTAATTTAATATTTAAATGGCCATGTAGTTCGATATGAACGAAGGTGAGTCCAACACATTATTGTGTAAAAACGTATACTTCTCAACGATTTAATGTTGGTTCGAGTTAGCTGTTAACAGTTAAGAGTAAGTTTTGAAAAATGCATTTTGTAGCCACATAGTTTTTTAAAAATAACTTTAAAGATAGGCTGTAGAACAGTTTTCCTTGTTTACTTAACTGTAACCTTCCGTGGGTTTGTTGACAAGGGAAACTTGCCAAATTATTTTATATAGAACGAGGCTGCAGGCCACTCCGACTGGAATTTTTCTAAAAGTAAAAGTAAATTTGTTAAAGGTTTCGAATGGCCCTAGAATATTTTTGTAAATTTTTCAGTTCGGACCCGTCTGTTTGGGCCTGACTTCTAAAACCGCCAAGTTTATAAGCTTACGTTTGGTGTTTGTTTTTTTGTTTATCGTATGATTTGTACATCTGCTTATCTGGTCTGCTAAGCCTCGTTATTCTCGCATCTATCTTTCAATATTTGTGTGTTCACTATCCCATAGTAACAGTAGTGTTTCGTCATTTCATCATAGCTGGTCACGTAAACGTTACGTGACTCACACTTGATCACATTCGCATCGCATGGCCTAAATGCATTTAAATTGCTCGAGTATCAAATCAAGACTATTTCATTTAATAACAGAGTGAAATTATACGAAATGTGAACACACTTTCATGCTTGTCTAATACGCAAGGCTTAATCGTAAGTGAAGTCCCGTTGCTCGTGGAAATCCGAAAAAAAATACGAATGCTTACTAACTCACTAGTGTTTCATTAAAAAAAATACTGACGATTTCTCCTTGCAACGAGATCCGCTTGCGAATTTATAATGTAGCCATTTGCAGTGCGTTCAATTGTACCTGAGTGCTATATAGAGTATATATTTGCCCGTAAAAACTGACTATAAGCGGCAAAAACTTGCAGTGCAAAATTCAAACCTACTTAAATAATAATTATTGGTATTATTATTGTAAAAGAATTTCAGCCCGGTAAAATGTCAGCTTCTTAACCTTTAATCACTCTAAAGTGCCCGCCGGCGCCAACGGTTAAGTTTCTCTCGTTACTCGCGAGAGGCTAATTTTTCAAACCTGGCTGCTTAAGTTTGCTTGAGTTCTTGTTCATGGCATTAATAAACACAGTTATCGACCATAACTGCCTACTGTACTTACTTGACATAAAAATATAATCAGGAAAGCGAGAAAGTGTGAAGCCTTGGGTTAACGTGACGTCTGCAGAGGGTTTAGCAAACCCCCAACAAACCCCTCCCCGGCTCGTTTAAAATCTTCTGGGGGCGGAGAAACATGCATATTGCAGCGCCGATGATGAGGGCTTGCTCGCAAGCTACGAAACGCCATTTCCTATCAAATTACATCTTCCCCAAGTACACACATACGTACACTATACGCATATTTTTTTCGGGGTGAGGAGTAGAAACACCAGTTCCTCTGATATCAATATTTCTGCAACTCCTTATGATAAGCTAACAGTCTAACTCAGTCTGCCGAACAGGTTTAACTTTTTTCCAAGGGCGAGTGGAGGCAAACGTCAGGAGTTGCGCAAGTGGAGCATTATTTTTTATAACATAGCGCGCGTGCTTGCCCTATATAAGCCCTATTGAGCCGCTATGAACAAAATCTTTATTTACGCACGACCGTGCGTAAATAAGATGACGTGAGCAATGCAATGTTCGCAGCCAACCTGAGTCTTCTGCAGTAGCCATAACTGTACGTCAAAATAACAGTGTGGTGGTTGCCTAGGAGAAAATTGCAAGTTTCCTGCAGTCCGCCTTCTCCAATTGTGCCGTGCACGGCAGCGTAAACATTATTTTGATCAATCAAAACCCTTTATAACTTCGGGTCTTTGACTTTTAAAACATTTTTTAAGTGTCACTTGATTTCATTTGGCTTTGATTTTCTCCACTTTCCCCGTAGATTTTGTGCTTTTCATTTACTGTTATCGATTGACTGGCTTTAATGTTCATGCTCAAACTAAAGCATGAAGTGTGGCGTGTTTTTGACCAGCCAATAGCGACGTTTGTTTACTTTTTTTGTGCGTTGTGAGAATTTTGCTCTCTATCGCAATAAAAGGCTTCTTCGCGCAGTTGTCGCTCTGTTATAAAAGAATTTGCTCATGCTTTTAGCTGTGCGTATATCGAGTTATGGATGCACCTGGGAAGTTTGGAGAGTGCTCAAAAAGCTAGAGTTGCGCTCGGTTGCGCCTCGAGCTACTCTTACGCATTTTCCGTGCCCTCCAAACTTCCCGCGTGCATCCATAACTTGATATACGTACGCTAAGCATGAACAAATTCTAAATTTGCCTTGCGCTTGTCATGTGCTAGTCTCGCGCATGTATCGTGCGTACATTTTACTTGCCCTTTGCCCTTCCATGCATGCTTGCCAGGAGAACGCTGAAACGACGCCTGTTCCGCTGTCTAAGTCTAAATTTCACTGCGGGTAAAAAATCACACCTTGTATGGTCCTCTGCTTATTGCCCTTTCATTTGTAAACCAAGAGAAAATGTATTTCATCCTATCTTGCCGAGGTATTCTTAAGATGGTCATAAGACTTTCATATTTAAATGGTAGATATAAATCTGTCTCATCTCGATAGGTAAAATTAAACTGACTGGCCGGAATCGGACTCTCCATTAAGGTACCGACAGTCCACTCTATATTTCGCCATTCCAGAACTGACTCACAGGGGATGGGAGACCCACAACAACAACAACAACAAAAATGTTTTTATTGACTTAATATAGCCTAAATTAAATTATAACAATTATTTGATTACAGTGTTGATCAAAATTATTTACTTGATATTAAAATTGTAGTGTTGAGTTGTGAAACTAGGAGGCAAAGTTATAATCAACCAAAGTTTTTCTTGTTATCATATAGCTACCCGAACAGTATTGTTGAAACTGCTAAGCTAAACGTTCTATAATTTTCAACCTTCGCTAATGTATCTTACTCTGCCCAGCCCCTTTCTTGCTTTCAATTATTGTTGTTTAATACAGAGTCATTTTTCCACGGCAAACATGACCCGGTACATTTAAGAGGAAAATATTAAAAAACGCTGACAAGGGAGGTAACGAATAATTAATTATAAATGGAGAAGTAAAGCTATCTTAGGCATGCTAGCAATTTGTGTTGATAGTTTTTGCCTTCCAATGCAAGTAGCAAGTAGTTTTGTACAGGAATGCACTCCTTGAAACTGTGATACAAAGCTAAACCATACAACGTTAACTTCTTTCTAGACTCCTACCTCTTTACATAAGTTAAAATCAGTACCCAGCCCTACTCGGGAAACGTCCCAAGATGGCCTGTTATAATAAAAAAAAAAACAATCAAGTGTCGTTCAATCAAAATCAGAGTAATCACAATGGCCAATCAGAAGAAAGGAAAATACCTTAAGAGCCAATGAGAACACAAAGTAAAAACAACAAAACTGCCTTAAGCGCGGGAAAACACGGGTGACCAAATTGTGATTGGTTTAGGTTTGCATTTGATTGGTTAAGATAGTTGGCACAAGTTTTTTGGACCAATCACAGAGAAAAGTAAAGGAAAATTGATGCAATGTCGGATTTACTCTCAATATATATAAAAAAAACTGCTCTGGTCTATAGGATCGCTAGCCGGTATAAAACCTCAATGTAAACGTTGACACTGAGATAAAAACGATAAGTTAGAGTAGCGATACGACTCACCCTTTATATGTTTATATACCCTTTTACGCAGAGTGAAGCAATCGTTTATAAGTCTTTGTTAAAATGTGTGGAAAATTTCCGAAAATTTATGCGAAATGCTTTACAAAAGCCTTTTTGATCGGTTGAGTTTTGGATATAAATTAGTGAAATGGGTTTAAAAACCTTTTTCGTTCTCGTTACATTTTAGTTAATTTGCCATTTTAGTCAATTTTCATATTGTAAGCGTTTTTATCAATTTTTTAAATATTTCATCTTGTAACAATTGATATGTACTTTTTAACAAATGGATACAAACACTTAAGATAAGACATGCCTACTACTCTTGGGTCGGACAAACCGGTAGGACTGGGTCTGAATATTACTGAGTGAAGGGACAAATGTTGGAGGTCTGGGTATGAGTGCATGGTAAAATGTCCGAACTTATTACTTGCGATCTGTTGTTGGGCATAACTTTGTCATTGTTTGAAACATAGAAACAAAAATTATCCGTGATATTGTTTGTAACTTCGGATCTTCTCTTCTTGAACGTCTGGTGAGTGACTTCTTGGGTTTGGAGCCATTATTCGAATTCGCTTGATGCTTAAAATTACTTCGATCTCGTGGCGTAACCTTCTAAAAGCGTTCTGCACACTTTTGTTAGGTTTTCAGGTATTCATTGTTAATTTTTGGTGTGCTTTGATACATATTCTTCCACATTTATATTTATAATTTGCTTAAATTTTGGTCTAAACTGGTCATCAATGAGTAATATTTCAGAAGAATTCATAAATCAACATGTTACTTTTGACAGAAATCAGCATGAAATTACACGCGCTACATGCATTGCACACGCTTATTGTTCATGTATGGTTCGTGAGATAAATTTTATCCCCTCATCAGAATACTACTTGATGCCGTTTTATAGGTATTCATTTTTAATTAACCTCAGTGGTAGCCTTTGTTTGAGATCTTACAGTTATATCCAAACAGCAAGCCTTTAGCCCAACCCATCCTGGCACTGTAAGAAGAAGCTATATTTTATTTATATTTTTCGTTGCTTGAAAAAGAGATTGTAACGATCATTTCACCTCTTGCCGAATTCCTCCTGTAATTGATAGCCTGTGCATAAGGGACTGTGGAGTTGGATAGTTAGGGTCTGCAATATCTTCTTAACCCGTTCCTTACCCCCACCCCCCTTTATCAAAAAAAAGGTTGACAGATGATGCCTTTCAGTAAATAAGGTATACTTGGATAAAAAAAACTATGAGTACTCCCAGTAAGAGTCAAACCTACGTCCTTTCAATTAGAACTTCGGACACTACCACTGAGCTATTAGAGATTGTGGTAGGCTAGGCTGTGTAACTAGGTCATTGGTTAGTTTTGCACAATGTTTATCTAATTGTAATAAAGTAATTTAGATCTCTCTTCTGGGAATTTTGCTCCAATCTGATATGGATACTTCTACTAAAGTGTTCGCCTACAATGTTCTTTATTGATTTTAAGTAAGAGAAGGGTGGGTGGTTTATCTTAGACTCTTTTGTTATGGCCTGTGACTTGGTCATCTGTTACAATAAGGAAATTTAAGCAGAGATGTTTTTGAGATGCAGATGGCAACGGGAAAAAGAATGTAACTAATTCTGGTGCATTGACCTTCATAGATTGATTGCAAGGTTGTTGTACTGTTTCAGCATTTTAAACTAAATTGTACTGACCTAAAAAGGTGACATGAGCACTGGTAACAATAAATTTAACTTCCACCTGCCACCCACATCTCATAAATACTTGTGCTTAAGCTCCCTAATATTAAGAAGGGGGGGGGGGGATTGAAAACCTTTATCACCTCAATTATCACCAAGTATTGCAGCTGGGTAATTCATACTGACCAACTAGGAGTATTTCCTGTCCCTTTCCCCCCCCCCCTTTCCCTCCCTGGAAAAGATACTGAATTGAAACCCCAAAGAACATTTTCAAACTGGAAACATTCTTTTGTCTTTTTCAGTTCAATGCCATTTGGTAGAAATGCACACTGAATAAAGCAAATAATAAAGCACTAATGGAGACTACAGTATGGTTCCTGTTACTCATTTTCTTTTGGTTGAGGCTAACATCTTGTGAATATGTCATCCAGACTTTTGATGGAGAAATTGGAGCAGGAAATTTTACTTATTTTACATTGAAGAAAGAAGGAGAAGTAACATTAATCCTTGAGAGCATAGAGGGTGATGCCGATATATATGTTTCACAAGAGAATCTCAAGCCTGATTTTGAAAATTACGATCTCAAGTCAGTAACTTGCGGTGAAGACATTGTTACAATTCCAAGTACTTATAAGAGACCTATTGGAATCTCAGTGTTTGGCCATGTATATGCCCCTACCACTAGATACACTATGAAAGTCTTAATGGACTATTCATCTGGAGATGAGAGTGAAAGATATCATAGTGAAACTGATGACCCAGAGGAATCACTTATTTGGACAGTGTTTGTCAACATTTTAAAGCTTATTCTGGAGATTCTTCTGTGAACATTGAAGGTTTCCTTTCACATGAAGAGAAATTATTGTTATAGGTCTTGAGGTATGTTAATTTATAAATCCTTCTTTTATTGCATCAGTTCACTGCAGCTGTGTGGCCATATGTCATGACTTCAGTTGGAGAGAGGGCATTTTTGCCAACAGAAAAAGACTGTTAAAAAACCATACAATAAAGTAAGCTTTTTACAATTTTTGGTCCTTGTCAAATTACTAAAAGATGGACATTTGTTTAGTTCAAAACTGGACAATTTCAATGATTTGGGTTAGAAATCATTAGCTTATGGTGTCAGTATTTGAGCATGTTGAGAGCAATTTCCAATTGAGTGTTGAAAAAAATCTGTTGTTGCTTTGTTTTTGCTTTACTTTGCTCTGTAATTGGTGTAGAAAACTTGCACTTCTTTTTTAACCAATCAGTTGCAACACTAAAACCAATCAGGACTTGGTCACCAGTGTTTTCCTGCCCTTGAAGTAGTTTGGTCAGTTTTACTTTGAGTTTTCATTGCCTCTTTAAGGTGATTCCTCAGTATTACACTGCGCGTCCTCTACTGCACGTAATAATCACGTAATCAAGCGAATAAGTGTGCATGCATTTCAAGCAGGTATAATCGTCTTAAGCTCTTGAATGAGCACAGCAAACTATATTGTGTAATGCTTAATCTTGGTGTACAAATTATCCCCTCTAAATTGACATTGAAAGCAATGACTTTAGGAACCTTTCAAGTTGATTGTGTTTATAATTTCCTGATTTTCCCACAAATTATATTTTTATCAAATGGTTCCATACACGTAAGACTTTCTACCTCTCAAGTATTTTTTGTGTCGTTTAAGAACCCTTGCTTCAAGCTACTGCAATATGTACCATGAACTATTGAAATGATGTATGAGATTAGTGCCAGTACAGGCATATGGGGTAAGTTTGGCCCATCGTATTCCTTAAACAAGCACAGTGAACTATCTTTTTAATGTATTTTTTTCCAAAATTGACATTGGTAAGGAACATTTCAGGATAGTCAAAAAAAAGTTTGATAACTTTTTTTTTCTGAGGAATCACCTCAAGGTATTTTCCATTTTTCAGAAGGGCAGTTGTGATTACTTTGGTTTTGGTATTACTTCACTTAATGGAAAGTGCTCTATTATTAGCAGCAGTACTAGTATAAGTAACAGTATTAGTACCAGTATTAGTACCAGTATTAGTACCAGTATTAGTACCAGTATTAGTACCAGTATTAGTACCAGTATTAGTACCAGTATTAGTACCAGTATTAGTACCAGTAAGATTTTCTCTTCTCACCAAGATCGAGCATATTTTCAAAAGTGACACAAATAATTACAGGTATAAGACCCCTTCAAAGAAACATCGATCACCACTTTGCTGAGTAAATGGATGAGTATTTACAAATAATTCTAATCAGCTTCATTGTCTTCACCCTGTGCACCAGTCTAACATTAGCATTCATATTCTCCACACAGTTTTCTTTACAATTCCTGTTGTACTCACAAGGAGAATTTGTGTGACAATCAGGAGCTTCTAAAATGCTGATCATTTCTGTTATTCCTTTGGCATTAACATTTGATTCAAGGGTTTCTTGTCATGGAACAACAAAGTTGACATCCTCTGAAGGATTATAACGATACAAAACTCTGTTATGCTACAATTAAGGCCCAGATAGCTCTGGTATATGATTTTACTCTTGAGGAAAATTTCCATAAATGCCCTTGTACTAAAAATGTTCAGTAACTCAGATCAGCAGAACTTGTTTATGTTCAGTAGGCCCTACATATTTATTTATGATCTGCTCACTATGAGCTATTATGGAATAAATACACCTTACATAATTCCATGATTTTACATATAAATTACATAAACAATTCTCCATTTGGTGCAAAAATATGCTCACATATTTCTCCATGGACATCATCTGTTCAGAGAGCAAAGCTCCAAGAAAGATGTGAGCTTTGAGGAACAGATAATGTCCAAGGACAAATAAGAGCATATTTTCGCGCCAAGTGGAGGATATCGCGTTTGATGAGCGGGAAAAATGTTATGAACAACTTACTGTTTACAGAATGGTATGTTTACTATTCAGTGTTCTCTGATATGATTTCATGAAAAATAAAAACATCTTCCTTCTTCTGTAACAACCACATTCACTTTCTCATCTTGAAGTAAATTTTAAAGGCAGGTTATCTGTATTGGGAGGTTTGAAAATTGGGGAATATCACCTGGGTTTATCCTTGGATATCCCCCAGTTTTAGTTGGGGGAAATTCAGTTGTTTGACTGCACGCAAGCTAAAATATTGGTAGGATTGAAAGCATAGATATTTTGTGAGTTGCACAGTATTTTCTTGCATCCCGTATGGAAGAGGCAAAGGAGCAATGAGCGTAATATCTGTTCATATTGCAATAACATGAAACTATCAAATAAGGGATTTATTATACCACAGTATCATCTCATTTTTATAGTATTTGGTTTCTGGTTTTTGAAAGACAAGAGAAATTCGGATGTATTCAATGCAAACTTTTTATAAGATGGTCTAAATACACATAACTTGAGAGTCACTTCAGCCAAGAACACTATCCAACCAGTCTTCAAGATCATCTTCCCTTTCCTTTGTAAACTGGTCAGCAGATGAGTTTGTTGTTGGCAATGAACCTTTGTCAGACGATGTATCCAGCTAATTAAAAATAAGAGCAAATAACAATTTGAGTTGAGAATACCAGTTGTGTTGTTCAGCTAATTGTCCAAATAAATTGCCAAGGTGTAAAGTCAATCAATATCCCTGTTCTACAGTCACAACTTATAACACATTTCAATCAATATTCATTTCACTTAAGACATGCATCTCACAACATATTAAATATTCACAGCTAACATACAAGCCATGCAGTCAAGTTGATCTATTCCCATGATGATTACATACTTAGAGATCAACAGCTCAAGAGGGATGGGAAAAAAGAACTAAAATTTTGTCAAATCACAAGTAGGTGAAGATTGACTTCAATGGGGCTAGTCTTTGTCTATGGATGCTGTTATTTGGAATGCTGAGTGGCAGCTCTGATCAGAGGATAATGTAGGTCACTCCTTAGAATCTCAAAATGCATTCAGTAAGGAAAGATGTGATTATTGAATGTTTTTCTTTGACAATCTGAATGATAAATGCATTTTGATTGGGTCTTACTGATGATATATTGGTGGACAGATGCATAGATAATTTCCCCATTTACAAGTTTATTCTTTGTTATCATATCGAGCAAATAGATTCCATGTTGCCGTGTACAACAAGAGACCACAGAAGATGTCAAAATGTGGTAAAAACATCTGTGACAAACTTGGTTGTGCCTCGTTTGCCATTCTTTTGTTCTTACCACACTATGACATCATCTGCGATCTATAACTGAACTGAGGCATGGAAACTTAGAATCTATTGTTTACTGGAGTATGTTTGTCCTTTGACCTTTGAATATTATCTAACCTTTTTTGTTTCCCCTACAGTGAATGACATTCTTTCATTACAACTATTTCCTCCAGGAGTGTCGAGTGAAAGAAGGAAATCAAGGTCATCATCTTCTTCATCGTTGCTTGATTTAATCACTTGTTCAGTTCTACCAGTCTGTGGACTATCTGCAGTGTTAACAGTTTTTAACACATCTTTCAAAGAACTATGTAATTTTTTGGTGTTTTTAAGGCTACCAGGCTCACTTGTGAATCCAGAATGCTTTGAAAGGGGTAAACCTTCACTGTAGCCATTCAATGAACCAGTTGAAAATTTACCAGATTCACTATCAGTCTGTTGAAAAGGTCTTTTTGGTAAATCCTTTACAGTTTTTTTCTTAGTAGGCAATGCTTGTAATTCTGCATATTGAGAAGGGTTTTCATGTGAATTTCTGGCAGATGAGGTTAGACACTTGGTCATTGCATCATCTTTGCTTGACGGTGAAGTGCACTGATCTTTAGAGCATGCTTGTGCTTTTAGTTTGAACACTTCAATGATATCTGGCTGAGGAACAAAAAACATTTCTTTAGTACTTTATAGGTAAGATATCTCTGTCAATTAAAGACTGATGATTATACACTTTGTAGAATACTGTAACATTAACAATTAAGTTTTGATGATGAAGCTCATCACCAAAAGGAGACTGACACCAGGTTGCCAAAATGTTCCCATCCAGAACAGAAGTGACTGCATTGTAAGACAAATGTTACCCCTTTGACCAATATTAAAATAGAATGACACAATTTTGCATCACATCACATCCAACATTTTCAAGAAATATGAACTGAATTTTTGTTTTTTATGTGTTAGAGAACAAATCATCCAGATTTTCAGGTCAGGCATGAGAAATTGTCCTCAGATGAACATCTTTGGTCCACAGGTGTGAGACTCATGCATAATGCGTGAGAACTGCCAGCTATAATGTCTTGTCAAGTTGAACATTTTAGGTATTGCAAGGCTAGAAACTATTACTCCTAAAATTAAATTGAACAAAGCAACAACACTAAACCCAATGGTGTCTAAGTGCTGATGTGGCAATGAACTGTTAAATACCAGTATTACTTCCCAAGGATATAAAGAGAGGAAATTGTACATATGATGAATATCAAGAAAAAAAATATGCTTCATGGGAATTTCAAAAGAAGAAACTGTGATACCCACATGTATTTCATCTTGTGAAATGTCAAGACGCTTGAGTAAAGGAACACAGTTCAAAGAACTTGCCAGGGCTCCAAAGTCTATCTCAAGCGCTGAAGTAGCCTGAAATACCAAAAGAAAAAGTAAATGCAAATTAACCCTTGCAGATTACTCTTTATCCAGAGAAAGAAGTCATCTCAGAAACATCCTGACTAAGAAGCTGCAAAACTTGAGGAGCTTTTGTTCTCATGCAAGCCTTTTCATTGACTTCTTGTGGGTTTGTTATTATAAAGATTGCCAATGTGGTAGTGAACTCCCTACTTTTGCTACTAACCCTTTACACCTTAACATCAGTATGCATATTCTCCATACTGTTCTCTAAACAATTCCTACAGTGTTGACAAAGAGAATTTGTTTATCAATGGAGAGCTTCTTTAGTTGGTGATCATGTCCTTTATTCTCATAAACATTAACCCTTTAACCCCTAAGAGTAACTAGCATCAATTTCTTGCAGTATCACCCCTGAATCACACATTAAGGTCATGAGAATAATGGAAATGATCAGCAAGTATAGGAGCTCTTGATTGTTAAGCAAAATCTCCTCGTCAGCACCTTAGGAAATGTGTAGAAAACAGTAAGGAGAATATGCATACTGATCTTAGGGTGTAAAGGGTTAATGTTTGATTCAGGAGTGATACTGTGAGGAGAAATTAATTGCTGGTCACCCTTAGGGATATGAGGGTTAACTACTTGCTAAATCCTACATTGAACATCGCAGAGTTCCTATGGTAAATCAATTTTTGACTTACCTGTGTTGGCTCACCATCAGTTTCTTGATCCCAATCTTTTTCTGACTGAAACCGAAACTGTGAAGCAGGATCAGCTGAAAGATGATACGAAAAGATTATCTTTTTAAACCCTAAAATCAGCTTGTATATTCTCCATATGGTTCTCTATATGTTTCCAGTAGTAATGATATGGAGAAACTACTCAACAATTAAGAAATTAAGTGATCCTCCTTCTTGTTCGATCCCACTGCAATACCATACAGAGAAATAAGATGCCAATCATTCTTAGTGATTAAATGGCTTGAGTTAACAAGTCTTACAACAATTGCCATGTACACTGATTTTTCTGAATACAAATTGGCAACTCTTAAAGTTTTACCTGATCTTTGAAGAAGAACACTAAAGTCCTCTCCTCTTCTTAAAATGTTTTCATTGTTATCTTCATCTTCTTCTGTATCTGAAATAAAGTGATATTTGAACATATATATTTCCATAAATTCAGTTTCATGAATTGAACTCTTTAAATAATATATGACTTGTCACCATGCAGCTATCACGTAAAATGTCTCTGTGATCACGTTGTTTGTAAGACCATGACCTTTGACACCCCCTTTATGACAACTGGGTCATGGGGTTTTTGTTAGGAAATGTAGTAGCAACACAGTAGGGTAAATTAACAATAGAATGATCCCTGCATCATAATAGATTCTGTGATTTGCAATACCTGACTCATGACAACAGCCTGTCTAAAGTATATTGCCTCAAATGAGCTCCAATTTATTGGTTTAATCTCTCAGGGGGTCAAATTCTTCTTGAGAAGAGGATTAATCCTTTAACTCCCAGAGTAGATCAAGATGAAACTTCTCCCCAAAATATCCATATATTATCCAGCACACAGGCAATGAGAATGTTCAAACTTATCAGGTAGAAGCTGTTATCTTGATCTAATACTGAATTCTCATATCTAATTTACAAGGAAATGTGTAGCAGTAGAGGGGAGAATTAACAATAAGACCTTGGGAGTTTAAGGGTGAAGAAGTTCTGTCTCCTATTACATCAGATCCAGCAATTTATGACACTATATACTGGATTGCTCTCAATCAATACCCAGGACATTCACAAAAATATTTTATGAGTGTATTTCACACTATAGAAAAAGCAGATGGCTAAAATGCAGAATAAGGATCAGAGGTAGATATAATTGCAATCTTTGACTTTCTTTCTTGAGTTAAGG